TTTCTGTTCTTACTTTCGCGCTGTGGGAATTGCAGAGGTATAAGTGATCAGTGATAAGCGTTTCTGACATACAAAAAAGGTTTTAATCAGACAAATGTCTTCAGTTCACCCGTAACAAGCTGTACATCAAGGTTGTAGCAGGTAAATAAATTCGATAAATAAATAGGTAACCTCAAACCTTGTACGATGCCAGGCCGTGACGGATTACATGCACGGCTGCTGTCATCTCTTGCGGACATTATTTCAAAACCGCTCGCGACACTTCAACATGTCCCTTCCACTCGCTCGACCCCCTAGAGATTGTAAAGACGCTATCGTCAGTCCTATATTTAAGGATGGTCAGAGACATATCGTATCTAACTACCGGCCTGTCAGTCTAACTAGCATTGTCGTTAAGTTGCTTGAAAAGATAATTCGGGTTAGGTTGCTAAGCCACATAGATTCACGAAATCTGTTAGCTCCTGAGCATCACGGATTTCGTAACAAGCGTTCATGCTTGACTAACTTACTTATTGCGAGAGAGGATTGGACAGTAGCCCTAGATAACGGTCTGTCTGTCGATGTGATAGATTTTAGCAAAGGATTCGACAAGGTTTCACACTTAGGTCTTATGCAGAAGCTCACGAGCTTCGGAATAATAGGCACTGTAAGGGAGTGTATAGGTAAATTCTTATGTGACCGCAGACAGAGAGTAAGGGTCAATGGGACGCTATCCGATTGGAAGCCGGTCAAAAGTGGTGTACTTCAAGGCACCATCTTAGGCCCTCTGCTCTTCCTCTACGTTAATGAGTTACCGCTATTGCTTAGGTCGTCGACATTATTGTCTGCGGATGACGTAAAATCTGGAGAGCAATGAAAAGTGGGGCTGGTCATTTTGATCTCCAAGCGCACTTAGACGAATTAGTTAGATGGGCTCGAGGTTGGGGCTTAGAAATCAATTCTAGGAAGTGTGCTAATGCACATCGGTCACGGTAATAGTTACCATTATACTATTGATGGTAAACCTCTCCCATGTGTTGAAGAGCATAAAGACTTAGGAGTAATAATAAGTCATGATTTAAAAACAACTACGCATTGCAGTGCAGTCGCTGTCAAAGGTTTTCGTGCGTTATGGTCACTTCGCCGAGCGTTCAAATCTTTTGACAAGGAAATTTTTCGAATATAGCATTTAGGAAAAAGAGGGCAATAACTATATGGCGATGAAGATTTTGGAAATAGGAAATCCATAAAAATCGCTGAGTGAATTTACAGATTTCATTTTACAATATTTCTGTCTGATTCCGGTTATAACGCAGTTATCAGTTCAACATACCCCAAATCCTGCTTCCTCAGTTATAAACATACTTCTGCGTTTATTTATCAAGACGCTGTAACAACAAGCGACGCGGTTAGCGATGTAGGAACATGGTTGTTTCAGCCGCAGAACTAAAGTCAGTGCTTCATTTTAATGAAGTTGTGTTCATTAAATCTCATATTGGTTGTCAGTGCATTAAAGGAACACATGCCCAGAAAATCAAATCCGGAATTGCACTCAAAATCTATAGACATATTTAACGAGGTAACTGAAACAGCTCTTGATGTGATAAGGAACAGTTTTGTGAATGAAGACGTCAACAAGTGCTTTAATAATGTTGACCCTGGGCAATGTTTAAATGCTCTTTTATCAGTTTCATCATAATCTCATTGTTCAGTCACCTCAAGTGAAATTCAATATAATTGTGAGACAAATGTTTAAAATGAATCGATTTTTGATCAAATTCTTGATGCTGTCATATCAGATGCTGACTATCCTAATGATTCATTGGTTTCTAATGAAGTCTTTAGTGAATTTGAGAAAATATCTTAAATTATTCAAATTCTGGCGATATCATAATAAATGTTGTTTGTTCCCACAAGTCATTCTTCTAGTGAAAACCTTAGTCAAGATGAAGCACTAGTTCCCAATGGGTTCAAATCTATTTATAGTTCTGATGGGCTCATATCATATGTTACTTACCCTTACAATCCATTTGCTTCTAGCCAGTGTAAGAAAAAATGTTTTAAACGAGTTATACTGCGATCACATTTCAGATGTCATTGTAGATGTTGGGTCCTCTCACACCTCATGTATTTTACATAGATTCCCTCCTCCATACTGTTATAAATCAATTGACATAACAAGTGTTTGCGAAATCAGAATGTCCAGGAGTCACAAAAAGATCCTTCAACCTCTGTGTATACCCACACGCCACAATGCGCACATATAATAAGGGTACTAGTGATGAAACAGTTCAGGTCAGTAAGGTCACGTTAATAATAACATGAGTACATGAAAATCCAACATTGTTTCATGGGTGGGGGAGAATCATTTGCTTAAGTATACATAATGCGACAAGTATATACATCCTTCCACTAGCTTGGTCATATTGTAAAGTGTAAGAATGTACACTTTGTTTTGCTTGCACAATTAGTTACAATTTCTTAATATTTTATCGTATTTGCTTAGTCAATACTATTTGACAAGCGGTGGATCAGAGGTGTAAAGGTATTCTAGACTGTGTCTTTGTAATCACACCAATCTAAAATATCACTAAAGAAAATCACTATTGAGAAACCATAGGATGTTGCCGATCGTCATTCGTTGGTATAATATTATTAACATTCTCATAGCTTATTTCATTATAATTTGCACCCTACAAGTGGCTGGAATTTCTTCAAAGATAGATTTAATGCCTACAAGTAAATAATATAGTTGCGGTTCTTTCAGTGCCCACTCATTTTGGTCAGGAAAATTAATTTTTGGTGACTCCGTATGATTCATTCACTTATTATATTATTTTCGACGTGATGTGTCAATCATCGTTTACCTACTTTTTTATTTCTATAGGTATTACCCCCTTACATCCACCATCTTTTAATAACATAGGTCCTATTTATAGTTTGCGTGGGAGAGAAGCAGTTTCCGAACTCCAGAAACAACTTATTGATTCTCAAAACTCGAGAACATTAATCTGCTTTCACCAGATGGATTACCAGAGAAGACGAGAGATTGTAGTGGCTGGTACTATGTCGAGCCCACATAGCTTATCCTAGCTTCTGGACAAGCAGATTTATCCACTCCTCTTAAGCTACATTTTAACCTTGTTAATTATTCACTTATCAACCCTGACTGCTTTTATATGAGCGTATGTGTACATATCTTATCCTACTCATCACATGTCTGTAGCTTATTTTTGTGTGACCATAAGTATCGATTAACACTTGATTAAATCAAGTTGGCTCACACGCCTTCTCCACTGTGTGTCCTTTCGTTTCTCCTCTTCTTCGCTGCGATTCTCTGTTCTGATCAACGAGTGTACAAAATATACATATTCAAACATCCATTCTCGTATTTGAATTATTTGATTCCGTTATTCACTAATGCGGATTAATTCGATGATTGTATACGACGATAGCCAGGATGTATATTTCGATAACAATCGTTCATACGATCTACTTGGAGTCATATAAGGGGACACAAAAGTGGTGGTCCCGTTGACAATATCGTCCAATCTAATTGATATCGAAATGAAGGACACCACTAAAACATTTACTCCTGAAGTCAAACGCGTATACTCTGTGATAGGCTCTAAATAAGCAAGTAATCGGGATTATTTCACTACCTGATCGATAGACTATAAACCAGATACTTAGTAATCTTCAAATATGTCACTGAGTGCCATAGCAATCAAACAGTAGAATTAGAAGGTTGAAAAATGGACTACTCTACTGACTTTTGCTGAGGACGAATGAATAGACTAGTTCTTCATAATATAGTTTAGAGGGGTTTGCGATTACCTCTACTCGTGTGTATTGTAAAATTCCTAAAAAGCCGAGCTCTTAAGTTTTCATTTGATCAATGAACTTACATGACTGGTCTTTTGAGTGTGGTATTCTTTATCTGTTGATCGAAGTTCAATCTCAACCTTTACTCTATGAACGATAGAAATCTCTAGCAGACATAAATGTTTAACAGTTAGGAGGATTTAGACCGTCCAGTAAAAATCAAACTAGAGATATGAGATATAGAAGGATCTAACACTGGCTTTCTTGCGTAAAATGATTTAAAAAAAACTCTAACGGAGCAAAAATCAGTATTCTACAGGAAATGAATGCAATAATTGGCAAAGTAGAAGAAATTGATACACACACAAATACAGTAAATTTATTGACATACCGACCCGAAGGAAAATATATAAAATATTCCAATCTATTAGAACAAAGTAATGAGGAGACTGGGAAACATACAGATGTTAATTATATGAGCGTGATTTTCTTTTAAAAAATATGCATAAATATAATTCGGTTTGATCTTTATGATACCTTGAATTTAAAATGAAAATACCAGTAAAGCCTTGATAGATAATTTACTTATCAAAGTGCTCAACATACACATAAATATTTGTATAGTATAAACACCTACTCAAAAAAAGTTTTATACAGATTAGTAACCAATTTCAAATAGGCTACATATAATCTTATTTTCAGTTAAAAATTGAATTTTTTTAAAAAAAAAACAAAAAAAAAAATGAACACATTGGAAAAAAAATCGACAAATTAACAACCCTAAATTTACAAAAAAAAACAATGAAACAATAAAAAATCTAGAAAAAATTGTGCTGACTAGTCTTGTAGTTATTTTTTCTCCTAATGTAAATGGAGGATTACAAAAACAATGAAGTGTTTGATGGGGGGATGAAAAGGAAGAAGCTAGTTTAATCTGTTTGATCTACAAATGAAAAAAGTTGCATGTATATGTATGGAACAATGAGAAATCAATTCATATACTGACTTTCAATGCTTTTAATGTCTCATAAAGATGAATATTACTTATGTGGGGTTATTTTTGAGGTAAACAGAATTTTCAATATACAATGTTTTCTTTAATATTGATGACAATGTAATTTTAGTTTGTTTTTTTATGTAACGTACTAACGAACAATCGTTCAAGGAATAAATTCAATATTAATTTTTAAAAATACAGTTGTTATGACTTCAAGTCGATTTTTACCCTGTGCTAATTGTTGTGTCCTTGACTGGAAAATTAGAGAGCAGCGTATTTATCGATCGATCCAATGACACGTAAACACGTACGGACGGCCTAGAGTCTCGACTGGTCCTGCTTCCCTGTCTAGCCCAGTCAGTTGAGTCCAGAACACAAGTCACAACCTCTGAGATATGAATCATTGTATTTCAGACATACTCTATTTATATACTAACCAAACATACCACATCGTACCACAAAAATAGAAAACAACATCTGTACAATATTTAACGGGTGAAATAAATAATACCCAATAGGAAATGTCCATTTAACGTCCAAGGACATCACTAGGCTTAACATGATGATGATTGGCACATTATTCTGCATCCATAACAACAGTATTTACAGTGAATAGTGGGTTTTACTTTGGTACTCGGATTAACAAAAAATTTGCTTCGTTATGCAAAGTATTTTAAACAGTAATTACAAAACTTCATCTTTGATATTACTGAAATAACAAGCAGAAATAACAAAATATGGTGATTAAATATATATTTATGTCCCCTTAAATTATTGGATAGGAGGATGGAATTTGGTAGACAGCTAATCATTTAATGTTTTAAGTTCATACTTTCCTCAAAGGTAGGGTAAAATCGTAAATATGTATCACAAGACCGACTTTCTGCATGATAAAAGAAATGGCTACAATGGTATTTCACATTTTTATTTTAAAGGACTGCTTTAGCGAAAACGAGTCTGGAAAATAATATAATTGAAGGACAAGTTTACTTACGACACATAGATGTCTTTGAAGCACTGCTCGTGTAAAAGCAAGAAAATCGAATGAACAATACTAAGGTTAGACAAAGTAATAGATAAAGTGATATGTGACTAGTGGAAGTAAGATGTAATTGATCACTGAGCGTGGACAAATAGACACGGCTTGCCCACTATTTGATATCTGGTTTCCTTTCTAACAATGATTTTTACTCTAAACTTCATTGAGTGTAGACTACTTGTAATCTTGTTGAATAAAGTATTGTCCAGTCTATTATCGGATTCTCTATATTTGGTCTCAAACCAAATATCTGATATAAGTGATCTTAGTCTCAGTATAGAGCATCAACTGAGTGCCCAGTCTAATGGTAGTACAATTTTGGGCATGGATTGTATTAACGTAGTATATCATGGTGTGGCGCATATATATTTGGCGCACTCCTGTACCAATATATATGTGTTCAAATAAATAAATAAACAGATAACTTTATTTTGCTTTTACACTAAAAAGGTAGCAATCCGATTAACGAGGCTATGAATCTTCATCTACCGAGGCGGTCAGAAAACATATCACATATCCTCAGCCATTCTCTACATGAAAGCGCAACTGCCGATTGTCATTGAAAAGAAAGCTAGTCAAAGTCAAATGCCTTCATTTTACCAATCAATGGATTCACTAACTCTTGATGTGTTTTATTTTTGTAAGTGCAAACTATTTAGTTGAGGTGCGAACGATAACTATCCAGCAGTTGGAGATATCGTGTGATAGGGCTCAAAACTGGTCATTGACCGATTCATCCATTTCTTCCCTTAGAACTTGAATTTCAGTAATTCATAAGACATGCTTTCTTTTAGATCCATATTCTCAATGTTTAGTATTTTTACTATTATAGACATTTTTTTATAACGCTCGGATTTTCTTCGTCTACACGACTAAGATGTTAATCTGCCTTAGACAAATATCTACACTATATTCCGTTCCAGTAACTATTCTGTAAGACTTCACAACTCAGATCAAGAACACGTGATTAACCTTACTAGAACGTAAATAAATCTCTACACCAAAAACCGACAACAATCCCAATAATAAGGATAAGAGAATATATAACTCATCTAACGCCTGTCAGACTATTATCTACAAGTCTGACTAAGCAAACAACCAATCATTCTCACCCACACATCGACATCCTAACTAGTTCAACTGGTTTATTATACATCTTAATTCTATATCGCTATGTTTATTTGGTGTGCCAAATAGAATATATATATATATATATATATATATATATATATATATATATATATATATATATATATATATATATATACCAGGTTTTCGATTAACCACAAATGTTTCATTGATGTTATTGCAAAGAGAATTAAATTAGTATAAAAACAAGGAAAAAAATAATCCATTGAAATTTATACGAAGAATGTGCCTACCGTAAGGTAATATCCACTTTAACTTTGGCCAACGTGTACATAATGGATCAAGTAGAAAATTCAATTGAATTTGTTTATCTATTTGTAAAGTAAACTTTTGATATATTTTAGATGTAAATTGTGTTAATTTATTTAAATTATTAGTCAATTTGTTAATAAAAATTGATTTATATGATAATTTTGTTAATGTCATATATTCATTGGAAAGATTAACATCTCTATTCTCATCTAATACATTATTACATCCAGGAAGATTTTCTGATTCATTCTGTATTATTTCAACTGGTATTACTAATGAATTAGTATTTGATAAATCACTATTATAATCATAATGTTTCGGTAAATCACCACATGATAATGGTGTATGTACAGAAATAATTGGACTTAATGCTATACGCCATCGAAATGGCCATGGAAGAAAACAAGCTAATGATAAACCAATTAATATATGCCATATACTATGATGTTTTGTATAGTTATGTGTTGATTGTCCATGAAAAAACATTGATGCACCGATAGTTGCAAATAATACACCTGGAATAAAACTAATTATCCACCATTGAATTGGTGGAAATAAACTTTTCAGTTTAATGCAGAAATTTATCTAGAGAAGAAAAATGAATAAACAAGAATAAATGCTTGAATTCAAATTAACAATGTTAATCATTTCTTTCTTTTTAAGATAAAATAGTTTCAAGTTCATAATGCCTAAACGAACAATGAATTGTAGTAGACAATTAGGTATTCAATTCTTGGGCGACTGGTGACCGATAAAATGTATATCCTATAATTCCTCATGGTTTAAATAAGTTTTAATCAAATAGAATAGATCAACTGTAACTAGCAGTGGAATTCAGAACGCCAATTTCATCCTATTTTAAACCCATTAGCTGAACATACTTATATTCCAGTGTTGATGTCCACACTGGAACTCAAACAGTTATTAATTAGGTTTCAGTTATGATTAATTTGTGTTCAGTATATTATCTCTTAGTCTATTAATCAGGATAAAATATATTTTTACTGACGAACTATTCAGCTTGATGGTTACTTTATTGAAAATTCCTGTTTAAAAATAAAAAGTTTGTCAACCAATGAGAACAAAAAAATGAACTGGTAAATCTCTCTTTTAACAGATGTTTAAAAGAATACAACAACTATGGGTTTTCTTCACAGTTGAATTCACGATTCAATCTAAGCTAGACCACCACTAAAAACCTGGAAGCACTAGACGGGTGTTTAGGAGTGGATATCTATTTAAAAAATGAATTTTAAGCAGTGGATACTTATGATTCTTTAATTGACTTTCAGGCCAAGCGATAATGAAATTACAAACAAGATAATGGGTTAATGATTTAAATTTTTTCAAAATTCACCTATTCCTTGATACAACAGTCCTGTTAGTGAGTACATGTTCCTACTCACATATATTTCAATATTTCAAACCATGAAACATCATTTGAGTTCATTTATCAAAGTTAACTATTATTAAACAACGTATTATTTAGTCTTGTAACTTGTTAAATTTCAATAAATGTAATACAATATGAATTCTTATTAGTAAAACAGTTAGTAAAAGGTTTGCTTAATCTTGAGTTTATAACTCTTCAAATGAGATAAAAGTACCATAAACGATATATCATTATTCCAAATTAATTATCAAATCTTAAACCTGAAAGTTCATATTTCATTCTGAAACTTACCCATATCTGATTGACTATTAATGTTTATTTAATTAATGACAATTTATGATGACAACTACTATTATATGAATATAACTCCAAGAAACAATCAATAACCTACTCCCTATTTCTTTGTGTAGTTACTTTTCAAACGATATAGAATTAAAATTTCAAAAAATAATTGGATATATATGATTAGAAATAATACTTTTCATTACTTACCCAAGAATAAAGAATAATTATTAATCCAATTATTAATGGAACTAAAATAATACCAATAGAATAACGAACAATTTGTACTGCAACTGTAAGTAATAATGCACCAATAATAAATGCACATTGTGTATATTTCATAGGTATTGCAGCTATTGTTAATGTACTTATCCAAATTGAGAAAATTCCACCAAAAAAATCACAAAATGATAATGTATCCACTGGTAATACACATATTGATGAAGTAAATTGTGAATAAATAATTGATTTACTACTACTACTGCTGCTAATTGGAATATTCATTTTAAATGCAATATTTGTAGATTGATAAAGCATACTACTACCATAATTCGGTGTATGCATAACATTGTAACCTGGTATTAGATTAGAATCTGTATCACAAATATGATAAAGCTATACAATAAGAAAAAAAAAAGGAATTTTAGCGATAAAAATAGACAAAAAGCATCACATAAGAAATGTTTATATCTTCACTGTAGACAACTTTACTAATAAGCGGTAGAGATAAAAAGTGAGAAAAAAACATCACTTTAAAAACCATACCATCGAATAGTGAAGCTATATGAATAAATAGACAACAGTGTAGGACTCCTCAACTATGCACATCTATTGTGGTGTGTGCCACTGATGTAGACAGATATAAGTAGTATGTATCATCAATTGAAAGTGAAATGTTTGGACGCAGAAGGTTAAGAAGATCGAAGAGAAGAGAACGAGAATAGAGAGTGATTGGTGTGGAAACGAGGAAACAGTCAAGTCTGAGACAATTTTTGATATTTCGCAAATGAAATATATATATATATATATATATATATATATATATATATATATATATATATATATATATGCATGCATTGAAATGAAAAGCATTCAGTGATAATCTATTAATACTACGCAATTATCAATTGATAATCAAAGTTCCATGAACATTGAATTAAAAACGGGGAAAGACCAAACAAATAAATGTGTATTATTTGCCCACGACACAGAATCCTGGTGGGTCGCCTATCCTCCTTATCGAGGGTAACAGACTTAATTAAGTAAGTAAATACATTAATAACTACTATAGTAATGTTAATTGCACTAACTCCTTTACCATGGCAAATTAAAGCAGCTGTACTCAACTTATTAGCATTTATGTATTGCATAATTACTCGTTTATATTGAGTCTCTTAGACTTATTAATATTCTGGCTATTTTGGTGGAGTTTTGTTCTCTGAGCTGGATGGTTTGGTCGTGGAGCTTTCATCGTTCTTCTGAAAGATGAAAACTCCACGACCAAACCATCCAGCTTAGAGAACAAAACTCCACCAAAATCATCCACCTGAGCTACAAATCTTTACCATATTCTGGCTATACTACGTCATTTGTGTAAGCATTTCTTAACTATTTTGTAATAATAATTTTCAAATATTACACATTGTATTTATTTATTTGAACACATAAATATTGGTACAAGAGAGCGCCAATATATATGCGCCACACAAAACAATGAAAATTCGAAGAGAAATAGAAAGAAAAAAAAAACTAGGGAACGCAAAAGAAAAAGAGAACAATGACGAAGAGATTGGAGTAAGGTAGTGTGGTAGTAACGACGGAACGAAAAGGTACAATCAGAAGAAATCTTTCAGGTAAAGGAGACACAACCACTTTTTAGAAAGAAAGTAAAAGAAGGTTACAGCAGGATCGCCACTGGCTTCTATTCTGAGCCATATCTGATAACGTCTCTAGCCACTGTGTAGCACCATCTCTCGGACCCCAACCAGGGAGTCGTGAAGGACCAACACAAGCCAGTCCTTTGCAGCTTTCTTTCATGCCACGACACCATGTCATGCACTGACCACCTCTCCGCCTCTTCCAACCAGTCCCAGAGTCGGCAAATAATGCACGACGTGGAATTCTCTGGGACGACATTCGGAGAACATGTCCAAGCCACCGAAGTCGGTGTTTCAAGATGGTGACACCAATTGAGTTATCATCTCTGTGCCCGAACACACGATGCCGAACCTCTGCATTACTGACATGGTGTTGCCACTGAATGTCAGCAATCCTTCGGAGACAGCGATGATCGAACACAGAGAGTCGTCTAACGTCCTCAACTCGGAGAGGCCAGGTTTCACAAGCATAGAGCAAAACTGCTCTCACCGACGCGTTGTAGATCCGACCTTTTACAGCCAGACTAACATCACGAAGGCGCCAAAGGTGGCCCAGATTGGCATAAGCCGCTCTGGCTTTCACTATTCGTGCATTGATCTCATCACTCACACCCCCACCAGCACTTATGCAGCTACCCAGATACACGAACTTCTCAACTACGTCTATCTGCTCACCGTCCAGGGTGAGTACAGGATTAGAATCCTGCCAGTCTTGTAGAAGTACTTTGCACTTCGAAGGTGCAAAGCACATACCATACCTACGGACACTGATTGCCAACTGATTAAGTGCGGATTGCATGCCTTGGGCATTATCGCACAGTAAGACAATATCGTCCGCATACTCAAGGTCGAGAAGTCTTTCTCCAGGCAACAGATCCACACCACCATTACTTACATTCATCAGAGCTGTTTCCAGAATGTCATCGATGGCAAAGTTGAAGAGGAATGGTGAGATTGGGCAACCCTGCCTAACCCCACTGCTCGAATGGAACAATGGAGAGAGGTGGTTGTATGCCCTCACTCTGCCTGAGGTGTTTTTATACAGGGCTTTCAGGATGTTAATAAACTTCTCAGGCACACCCTTCTTCAATAGACAATCCCAGAGAACAGTCCTGTCCAACGAATCGAAGGCAGCCCTGATGTCAAGAAACACTACGATTGTTGGCCTTTGAAAAGTATGGCGGTGTTCTAACATTTGGCGGAGGGTGAAGATATGATCAATACATCCTCGACCAGAACGAAACCCAGCCTGCTCCTCGCGAGTCAATCTTTCTCGGGTTTTGAACAACCTACGAAGAATGACGGAAGCCAATAGCTTGGACGCAATCGGAAGTAAACTTATCCCCCGATAGTTGTTACAAGAACGACGTGAACCCTTTTTAAAGATAGGGACAACTATCGACTCATTCCATGACGTTGGTACACACTCTAGTTCCCAAACCTTTGTAAACAACGTCGTCAATTCCTTAGTCAAAAAGTCACCACCATCTTTAAAAAGAGCCGGAGGTAAGTCATCTGGGCCAGGTGATTTGTAACGCTTCAAGAGTTGGAGTTCCTTGCGGACTTCCTCCTCATTTGGTGGATCAGTCGTCACCGGCCATGGAGGGCAGGACAGTCTGACCGATGTTGCCGGAGCAGCAGGCCAGTTGAACTGCCCTTCGAAAAATTCTGCCCATCGTCCAAGACGTCGATGGATGTTAGTGATTGGCATCCCATCATCCTCGCAGATTGTTTCACTCACACCAGACTTCTTGCTGCCAGTGGCTCGGATGAGCTGGAAGAGCTTCCGGTAGTTACCAGATGCAGCTGCTGCTTCCAGCTCATTAGCACGCATCGACCACCAGGCTTCTCGGTCCTTACGCAAGCTTTGCCCAATCTCCTTACGTAACATCCTTCGTTTATGGTCAAACTCACGGTCACCCGGAGTAGACCGACGGGCTTCAATGAGTTGTAAGGAACCAGAAGAAACCCAGTGCTTAAAGGCGGGACGTTTCGCAAACCCACAACTGACTGTTCCCGCCATTTTCATGGCGTCATGCAATTGCAACCAATGCTCATCTATACTTTTCGGTGGAGTGGTAGCTAGCCTAGAGGCTAGCTCGGTTCGATACTTACTTGCAACAGAAGTTGCAACCAGCTTGCTAACATCAATCCGTTGATGGCGTTCACTTCGTTGTCCACTGAAAAGTAAGGTAAGATTGGCGCAGACCAAGGCATGGTCAGAGTCCAGATAGGTACTCCAAAAGGAGCGGCAGTCTTTTACACAACCACGCCAGCGGTAGCTGATCGCGATGTGATCAATCTGAGTCCAGGCTTGAGATGCAGAGGGAGGACGCCAGGTGGCACATCGGCGATGACTGTGCCGAAAGTTAGTGCTAGCCAGAAACAGGTTGTGGTCTGTGCAAAGTTGCAGTAGACGGTCCCCGTTATCTGACCTGCGACCAACGAGTCCCCATCGGCCACCTAAACGACTCTCTTCTGTGCCTAGACGCCCGACCTGAGCATTCAAGTCTCCGGCTAGTACTACAATATCTGTCGAACGCACTTTCTGGAGAAGAACTGATAACTGGTGGTAAAACTCATCCTTGATTGCATCCGGGCTGCAATCTGTCGGAGATCGAATTTGTAGTACTTCGCCAGAGTCTTGAATACGGGTCTCGGATAGACAACACACGTCGATATTAAGACTTTCCAAAGACATAGCCAGCCCTATCTGTTGTCCGACCTGCATAAATGTGCGAACGTTGAAGGCAGCCAGTTTGAATGGTGCACGTGGTTTCAGAAAATCTGCTTCAGTCCTCGTATTCGGTGGTAACATACAATTTTCAAACCGGACAGTGACTCGAGAACGTATAGATACAGTCGGATTTCCGCCAAAGACGAGCCGCTGTATAAGTATAAAAGAGGGTGAGTAATGTGGAAAATAATAATAATAATGATAATAATAACAATAATGACAATAATACTAGTAATAATAATAACAGTATTAATAATGACAATAATTGTAATGATAATAATCTGAATCCATTGTTTGTTTTTCAAAGCAAGAAAGGTAATTTCCGTAGGCATAAAGAGTTCATCAATTTGTGTGTGGGCTGTGATACTGCCCGGGTGCCCAAACCGAAGCAGGTGGTTATCTTAGGGGGCCACTCCCCGAGCCTTTGACCTAAAGGTCTAACCCACAAGGCAGTGGAGCATCGTAAGGAGATGCAGTCCCATGGTAGCCGGTGACCAACGACTGGTTCATACGCCATTCGTTCCCGCAGGATACTGGAGCCCATGTGCACCATTGATTTGGAATCCGGTTAAAGCGCCGGACATTCGCTTTTCGTCCTCTCATTTTCGTAGACAACACCCCCGCCACGAGAAGGCAATGAGTAGGACTTCCCTGGCAGAGGCTGTATACGCGTGGCCGTGTGAGAGTATTTCGAGAGGGAGAGCGGACTCTCCCCACTCTCGGCCGTACCAGGGCATTCAGGGGGGCATTACACATTGTAAGCAGATGATAATAACCTAACGAAATAAAATGAGTTCATGTTGATCGCAATTGCAATTATTCTTTGTCTTTCTTTAGATCTTGAGTTGCACAGTTATCTTATACGTTTCTATTCTGTGAATTTATTTTTTCTTCTTGAATTATATCGTCAATGTCTAATCTTTTCTACAACAACAATTGACACTATTACCACTTCTACCAACTCTAAGATTTGTTTTGATAGTTTCATTTTGTTACACCAATACAGTGTAGCAACTTGGACCGATAACCATATATGTATTAGGTTCTACGTTGCTTATGACTAACTAACTGACTGACTGACTCTCTTTTTGTCATAGACCTCGTCAAGTTAACAAGAAAATAACCTATGAATACAGCTAATTTAAAACAATATTCCACTATTTTTTTCTTAAATATAAATTGTGTAATTCATATTCAATACAACTAGTAGTATATTGATGACAACCGTGAATGAAGAACAGGAATCGATTTGTGATTTTAGTTAAAATGGAAATTTCGATAAAAAGATTTAATTGAAACTTACACGGAATCATCTAGTTATTTTTTTCCTATACAGAAATTGTGATTAGCAACGAGAAATAATAATGGTTGATTATAGTGTGATGAACATTTAATTAAATTCATTTTACAAACAGATAGGAAGTAAAATAATGATTACAAAAACTGGCATTATAATAATACTGCTCATAGAGTTTATTTATACCAAGAAAATTAATTAATGATAATTGACATCGATGTTGAAACGACAGTTTAGTAATCATAAACATATGAATTTCAAACACTGAGCTGCAAGTTCCAAACTCATTAGAATTAATTCTATTTGACCAATGGGAGTAGTAACAATAAGATTCACAAAGAGAATGCTGTGTCAAAGCTGAATACGATAAGTCTCATTAATTGACAGAGTTACATTCACTGAAAACAGATAGCTGCTAATGGCAATGTTAGGTAAGGTTTACTGTTTAGTCGAAAATCTATAGAATTAGAAATCTATCAATTCATCATTTAAACTACAATAACTTAGTATCGAACGAAGTATATATCTCAATCAGTGAGTATTTAGGCTAGTTCTTAAGTGAATAATATATCTAGGTGTGAAATGATGAATAATTTCACAGATTACTAAATTGAAAAGAAAACAATACAAATTTGAAGCCTTACTTCAATTTTAATATCTGTAAATTGAAGATTAATTATATTGATGTGTGACAAGCATATACTTTACTGAAAATTGAAACATGATTAAGATTTGGATCATTTTTTTTGTTGTTTAAAAGTTAATTTATTGGGACCACTAACTCAAATTTTCTAAAATTCAATCCTACTAATAATTTAATTTACTTTTATTTATTTTCTCGACTGAAGAGCTTGAAAACACTGACTTATTTATCGTAAAACAATTAGAAAATAATTAGCTAAGAAACACTTAGATAAGCTACAGTTTATTTAACAAAATTACTGTATCACGAAAAAAATAGGGGAGAAGAAAAACCGAAAATGTTTAAACATGGTTAGAATTTTGATTTGGAACAATTTATTTAAAAATTTAAAATGCAATACAGTAACTTTGCCTTGGGTTAAATATTCAACTGTGGTAGAATATATAACCTGAGAAAATGAGAGACTATTTGAAAACAACGAAAGTTAATCAATAGGAGAATTTTCTATTAATAGAATTATACAAAATCCCCATTCAGAAATGTTTGAAAACTACAATATACAGAACATGAGAGTCACTGGTGTAACTTTCAAGAAACCTAATCTACCAACTTAAATAATTTATGATATAATGTTCTAACCAGAGACTGTCAACAGTAAGCCTAGATTCTTGGAGAAGTTAGTTTTCCATCTAAATAACTCCTGTTATTACAACCAGCAGACTATATTGCTTGTAATAAAAATCACTAAATATATTCTGTTGTAGTCAATGAAAGCTATTGCAAAACTATACCACATGAAACTTTTTGTAATTTGTTAATGGAAAACATTGCTATCGTATACACTAATCTCATATAACAGTATATAATCTCTTGAGAAATTTTAGTCAAACTCAAAATTTTAAATTTTAATAACAAAAAGGATAACACTTCCTTTTAAAATATATCGTTTATGGCTAGCATTTGAATCAATGAGGCATGTTTCACTCGATTTGTAAACCGACAACTAAGTGAGTCCATATCCCAATGCTGATGTTCACACTACAACTAGAACCAAGTAGCCTTCAAACACCACGACTAATCAGAATTCAATCCCGAATATCAAAAACGCGATAATTCAAATCCTTTCTAAAAGCTAATCGGTTTGAGTCTTGGTGTAAACATCAGTACTGTGATGTATGTACACTACTTGACGAGTCCCAGAAAAAAAAACACTCACGTTCCGGATTTAGATGCCAGCCACAATCTAAAAGCTTGTGATTACACTTGTCAGTCGTCCGACTTCAATATTTGTATATTTATAATTGACATGAATTTAAATCGAATTTACATGTTACCTCCGACAAACAACAATATTTAATAAAATTATATATATGAAGTACTAAAATTATCAACTTACTGTAGAAAAAAGAAAAGTGTATCCATAAACTAATGCCGGTATCCAAAGTCGATGAATAACAGTCAATAGAATTGCTGGTATAAAACCGAAATTGGACAAAGCCAATATCAATGCATCATATGATAATATTTGTCTATTAGGATAGAGTCCAAAAGTTTTAAAATAATCTATAGGTAATGGCATACAACCTAGTCCACCATAACCAATAGGGCAAGCACATGTCGATACATGAATTGATCTTTGAAAAAGATTAATACATATACCTTCACCTGGTATTTTACCAATTTTTTTAACTGGAACATAATTAAATGGACTATTATATTTAAAATGATGATTTTCTTTGTTAGTATTATCTTTATTACTACCATCAGATGGCCACCATGGTGGACGCCATCGTTGGCTACCATCTCTAGAACGTGATGTGTTTACCTAACATCAGAAAAAAAAAGGTAACAGATTTTTCTATTGATATAAAGTATGTAAAATGATAATGCAATTAGAACGAAAAAATAAACATACTTGGTATACTAGCTTTAGAGAGATTATTAAACACTCTAAACCCGTTTTTGAGTCGATCCTAAGATTTTACCAGTGAAATCTTCAAGTAAAAATCTATCAAATATTTTAATCAAGAAAACTTACTTGCCTTATCACCTACCTAGTCCCGAGATGATGGCTAGTGTAGAAGTAGATTAAAAGAAAACTAGAGCGACTAAACCAAGATGTGGCATCAACCAAAGAGGCCATTGATCGTTAAACTGAGCCATGTTAGTACATAAAGACAATATAAATTCAATTGTTATTGTTTACTTGAATCTTCCAATTGATGTTTAGGACCGCAATTGATCAGTCTCTTATTAGCATATGTGCACACTGCGTATTACCTCGATATTGCCTTAATTGACAAGCATTATAAGCAAAGATGGATAGTGGCTAGTAGTGAGATCCAGGACGCGCATTTCGTCCTATTCGGAACTCATCAGCTGGGTGTACATGCATCTCAAGGTTGATGTTCACTCTGGGACTCTAACCCACTACCGACCACTTCAAACTTCATTACGTTATCCACTTAGTACTGAGAGCCTGATCAATTGAAGACCTAAATATTAATAGGAAGATCCAAGTAAACAATGCCAAATGAATTTAAACTTCATCACATTGCAGAAGCAAGTGGCTATCAGGACTCAGTAGCTAAGTGGATAACGCGATGACGCCTGAAGCGAACGGTGCTGGGTTCAAGTCCCAGGGTGAACATCAACTCTGAGATGTATGTGGAACCAGCTGACGGGTTTCGAATAGGACGAAACGCGCGTCCTGGATCCCACTGCTAACCGCTATCCATCTTTGCTTACAGACAACACAGTTGAGATAAGCGTGGTTATCGTAACCAGCGTGATATGATGGAAAGAAAAGTCAATTTTCGATTGATTTACTCATTATGAGTTTTACTCAAGATTATTTCCGTTTTGATCCAATGTAAAGATGACTCAATGTAGTATTTGTTTTCTTTTCTCGTATGATATTTTATCCTGTATAATATGCGATATCCTTTTATTCCATTGACATGAACTATGCTCAGTCTGTGATTTGTTATGTCTCTAAGTATTTTTTTATATATGTGATATCATCCTAATTATTTAATCAAAATGGATGTACAATCAATATATAAATGAGTGTATTTTCTATCAGAGTCGTCGTCCTCGTGTTTTGGGTTAATAAATCAACATTTATACCAGTCTTGTGTTCTTACTTTCGCGTCGTGGGAATTTCAGAGGTCCCTCGTTCTGAGTATAAGTGATAAACGTTTCCGACATAACAATCAGAGACGACCAGATTTCAAAAAGTAGCATTAAAAGAGCCAAGACAAGAAGCATTCAAACGACAATTTATAACACAGTTCTAGGAGGCTTTATGTGAAATGGCTCAAAATCAGTCGCAATGGCGCGTATACATTTAATCTTTATATTCTTATAACGTGAATTTCACAAGTATCCTGGACTATTTTTGATGTGAACAGAGAATCAAGTAGCCTTGACAAACTACGGAATCTATCTTTTGGGGACGTTATTCCGTTTAATTCAAAGCTTGTAAAACAGTAACATTTACTTTTTTCCCCAATCTATTCAACAGATCATAAGCTTTCGTTTGATGCATGATTCACTGCAATAGCCTTTTCTGTTCCAAATCTATTGTAATTTAAACATCATCCTTTGTGCTCTATTTTTCACTCAGATCCCCAGTTTTGAACGTGACTGTATCTTCCTGGTTAGTCATGTATCTTTTTACACTAATCTGAATCGGGAATTAGATCGAAATTGGAAATAGGTTGAATAGTGTTCCAATTGACTTGTCTTCTCTCTCTCGTGACTGTCAGCCAATCGGATGATAGAATAGTTTTCGTCTCACTTCGAGCTCACTCATACTAGCCTCAAGGTTAGGCCAATCAACCTATCACATCAATGTCTTAATCTAGATTTAGATATAGAAGCGGTTAGGCAGATCAAGGACGTAACAATTTTTACTCCAGCAATCAGTATATTTTTATCGATTCATATTAAAAATCCTTGTTCAGTACTACTACGTCTGGTGCTGTTAATACTCCTACTCCTCTGGTATGTGGTTTGGCAATGTGAACCGATGCATATATATGCTTGATCATATATTTCGTACGACTGGTTGACTGTTCAATAAAAGGTGGAGACGTTAAACCTGTAAAAACAAGCCGAAACCATAAATACGCAATTTGTCATTGCAGGAAGGTGTTAGATGTAGGATAACCTGATGTGTAGGACTATGCATTTTGCATCAATGACAGTATGTTTTCTTAAAAGATCCCACTAGTAAGTGAAATTTCTGTGTAAATTCAAAAACATCATTGCGTAATTATTTGGTTTAACATATCGTCAGTAAACTTATTAGATTAAGTATAAGTACAGAGAGAGCAATAACATTTTGAAAATGAGTTTAACGTTGTGTTAAAAAAAATAACAAAAAGAAACATTTTCTGCTTCTCAACTTACAAGCAAAAACATTTATCAGTGTCTGACGTGTCAGTGATAGGAATTCATGATTGGTTAGTGAACGAAGACATATCCAGCTATACTAAATGAGAGACACTATAATATTGTGAACTCCTTCCCGCTACTGATTACACAAGCTAATTGTTCGAAATCCCAGTGTATATTATCTGGTTCTCAATCATTGGCCGCAATTATGTATCTATGTATCGTGTGATCTAATATAGTGACCTAACCATCGGGTGTCGTGATAGAGTGCGCTCAGTCAATTATCTACTGTATGATCGTATCATAGAACTGATATCGACAAATTATTTATTTTTGCCATTACAACAATTTAATAGCATAACTTACACTTCTTTATTAGAAGGGAATGGTGAAGAAACACTAATCGAGGTAAGTTTATATGAAAAAGATTACGATGTTATTAAATTTTCAGAGTGAATCATATGGGAAAGTCCAGAATACAAGTAAATCAAACTTCAATGCTATGAATATCTTGAAGTATAATTTTACATTTTTACATATAATTTATTCTACATAAAGACTTGTTACTTATTTAACTCAAAAGTAAGTCTAAAGCAGGACGGTTTTAACTCTCAACCGAGTCAAAAATTTTCGCATGTATTTCAAATAATTCAGTTGAGCAGGTCAGATAGTTGATAATTTTCATGACTAATGAAGTGGACATCAAACGCTAAGCCAACAATTTATACGAAACGAATGCGACTAAACACTCTACAGACAATCAGACTTTAACCGTTCCTAACACACTAGTACAATATGAATAAAACGACTGGTCTTCTTCAAAATTTTTTCTATTATCTCTATAAAAAGCGATATTACTTTACAACTAGTCTGTGTATGTAGTTTGAAAATAACATCGGAAACAATACGATGAATTAACCTATTGGATCATAAAGTTACCGATGAGCGAAAAATAAAACGACGGCGTACACATTCTAAGCTCACTGAGAAATTTCGGAATGTAAAAAAATATAAAAAATCATATGGTCAAGTCAAAACAGAAAAGAATTTTTTAAAAATATTCCGAGCCAGCAGTAGGTATCTTTGGCTTTTACAGACAGAATAAGTGTGACTTATACAACTGACTATATGAATCCCTACTAAATTTCTTAGTTGTTATTCTTACGATATTATTATGTAATTTGAGTAATTACTCTGGAAAGAAATTATGAAATTAAATAATTCTGGATACTATTTAAACTGTGTACATATTAGAAGATTATAGTCTGTTATTTTTTGTTGTTAATTGAAAGTAGATTTCGGATTGATAAAAATCTTAATTACACATTGCACATAAAGAAAATAAAAAAATTATCACTATTTTGCAATTTTACACAAACGAAACAATTATGAGAATGATGATGTACGATTATTTCGATTTTCAAACTTCTTAGTGTGACGAAAAACCAGTGGGAACAAAAAACAAGAAAATACTGATATTGATCAGCGAAATTATTCAAAGAAATAAATCGATATAAGAAAAGCTTACTATTAATTCATTCGGATATAGGAGGCGAGATGGAGCTAGTGTAGCTCCTTCACCGATCTGTCGACAATGATTATTTATACATGGAGTTGAACGTATTATTAGTGAAACATCAATTACTGCTGACTGATCCAATCCACAAAGTGCACTTGGTTTTTCAAAACAAAACAAAAAACAGAGGACAACACAAATATGCTGGGTAGTAGAACAAGGAGTATACATTATATGTTTATTACTGAACCTATACAATCAAATCAGTCGTTATAATGATCATTTCTTATGTTTAACTAAACGGAAAACTATTACAAGTAATTTTACGACATATCTTCATAAAAGATATTGTTTTATTAACTGATAATTAGAAAACCAGTGAATACTAAGGACATCTCTATTCTCTTTTCTATCAATAGCACTATGCAACAGTAATTATTATTAGATGGTTGGAAGTGCTCAACATGAGATCTTAGACCTAGTTTCTTGTTATTTTGCACTTGCCAGTATGGGATACTAGTAATCTTGACCAGTGGCAAATAGCGCAAAATATAAGTTCAGGGACTCCTGTCGATTAACTTCGACTACCTAAAATGTCAACACAGTACAAGAGATATCTAGACACTTAGACTAGTGGCCAAATGTGATCAGCACTAAAGGAATAGATAAATAAGAAATTCGTCACTATTCAGTGATCAATCAATTATAAATAGTAACTACAAAATACGACATGACAACCAGGTAAGTCATTGAGTTATTTGATTTAAAGTTAAACAACTCGAAGCAATACAAGTGTAGGTTAAGATTTAAGTCCATACATTGGAGAAAAAACAGTATTCCTACAGATATGTAGTAGGAAGAGAAATAGAGTGAGGACAGAAGAAATTCATTGCACGAAAACATAGTCTGCATATAATGTGTCTTCATAACAGTGTAGTGTGTATTTATAACATACAACTCTTCCCCCCCCCGCTTATTCTCAATTTTTCTACACGCTAAGATAGCAATAAACTCAATTGTTTCAGGATATATAAACATAGAGAGATAGACACATACATATGTAGATGTACATATGATGTATATTCATATATATTGATTACAGGGAACAGAAAAACGGAACACATGCATCGAACAGACGTACATCACAACATTGAACAAAGAACCGTGTGAATAAGAACAGAGAAAAAAGATACGTGTACACAAAAGACATGAAACAGAACAGTTGTTTTTAATGCATACAGAACAGGAAAAAGAAGATACTACCTCTCTAACACAGCTTAAAGAAAAAATCTTAACTAAGTAAATAAATTATTATTATGATTATCTCACTGTTGAATTGCAAGATTTAATGGATCTATGGATAATTTCCATTTCCTAAATGATATTCAATTAAGAAGTCATTAAGTTCAATCGCGTCAGTTGTGAAGTTACCCCATGAGGACAATCGAAGTTGACCACGTAGTATCCCAGAATAATCGATATTAGACCTGTATACTAATAGATCTTAAATCAATGTTCTAGAAATTAAGCACTCATTCGCGATACCGAAGGTCCTAGATTCTATTCTTGGTTCCTGAGTCTTGTGTGCTTACTTCTGAGGAAACACATACTAGGATAAAGTGAATGTTCATCACTTTCATGTGTCCATCGATTGTTTAATTTAGATACGCTCGTTTTTCCAGAAAAAAAAGTTGTAGTAGCATACCTGTACAGATTTAAATAGTTATGTTTAATATGACTATTTTAGAATCCAACGTTTTAAGGTTACGAAGAAGTACTCCAAGAAGAAAAATATAGCACACATTTATTTTATTTAAACAAATAAACATTGGTACGAAGAGGCACCATATATATATGCACCACACTTCGCCATTCAATGCAGATGAAAACTAGAATAATGTCCAGGAGCCCAAAACGAAGCAGGTAATTTTCTTAGTAGCCGCTCCCTGAGCCTTCGACCTAGAGGTCTAATCCACAAGTCAGTGGAGCAATGTTAGGAGGTGCAGTCCCATGGTAGCCAGTGTCCATGAATGCGTTCATACGCCATTTGTCCCTGCAGGGTTCCAGAGCTCATGTGCACCGTTGGTTTGGAATCGGGGTCTTACAACTCCTCTAGGTGAATCCTCCATACCCACCTACCCGGTCTGAGAGCCGTATCCTCTCAATTTCGTAAGTAACACCGCCGCGAGGAAGCGGTGAGTAGGAATTCTTCGGCAGTGACCGTATACGCGTGGTTTAATGACAACTAAAACCCAATATTCTCAGTTTTATGTTAAGAAAGATATCAGCAATTATTATAGAGTACTACAAAACATTAAGAAGAATAAATAGTATTAAAAGATTCTAAATGGATATATTATATATTTATTGGACATCTGATACTTATTAGTTATATTAATATTATATATCTGTGGATAATATAAAATCAGTGTAAAATTGCACACTTATACGGTATACATTCCTGAATTACTGAGTTTATTTCAATAATACTTCTCCAATTTAAGGAACTGAATAAGTTATTCATTACACTTTTACGGACAATAATTGCGATAGTGTAGAAAGTAAATTATATTGTTAAAATTGTATAGTGTATTCATTGTTGGATGTGATGATTCACACCACTGTCCCCTCCCTTGGTGCGATAAGTGTCCAATTGAAAAATTCTAACACCCTACTTCTGAGTTGTTAGCTAATGTGGCCTAGAGACAAGGAAAAGCAAAGGTAGAGGGTGTAGCACACCTATTTTCAACGCCTCATCGATTAAGTGGCTTAAACAACCTGAAAAGTTACACTTAAATTCAACACTGTTCATTCAGTCGTCCATATAAGTACAAACAACTTAACAAGTGCATCAGTGATCGAATTTTGAGTGTAATGAAAATATTCCTTAGAGTAATAGAATGAAAAGGAACTACAAGGTTATATGCCTGATGCTAATGAGATAGGGTATATCTTTCTACTACTATACAATTCTAATAAGGCCACTACAATGATTATTATCAAAGAAATAATCAACACAAATAAAACGAGAAACTTTTGTAAACACAATAGCCAGAACGATCATGAAATATACACAAATATGTAGGTAATAATGAGAAAATAATTAGTCTTCTACAAAGAGAACAATATATTGTTGCATCTGATTTTTAAGTATGTAACCATTCGTAATAGAAATAAATAGAAGTTTCAAATTAATTGTAGTATAAAAAGATCCAATTGGCTGTTTAAAAACTGGACAGGTTATTATTTACTTCAGTAGATCTAAAGTTTGATAGCACAGTTGTGATACGTCTTGTCAATGAAACGCTATATACGATTCCTAAGCTATCTGGTAACCCGCAGACTAGAACTACACAGCGACTTGAACACCAGAGAGAAGACACAAGTATGAGAGAAAATACTTTATCCCAAGGTTCATTTTTGTACAGAAAATCAAGGGTATTTATAGATGTTGGCGTCTGTTAAATCAACATCATATTTCAGCCAATCCGTTAACGTCATATTATGCTACCGACCAATAATAGCACGCCATGCTGGAATTCTCGAACGTTCCATCGTAGTCTGATTGGCTAGGATCCTTCGGCTCCTTTTGGGCCTCTGGAGGCTCCGTTGAAGTTCTCCGGAAGCCGACTCAACAAGTTGTACAAATGGAGTGTGATAAGGTTCAGATAATTCGAGAACAATACAATCAAGCCAGAAAGAAGAGGAGAGGAAAACTTGTTTGCAGAAAGAGTATTCAACTATTAGTGTACGCTGCATAGTAACCTAATGCTCTCTTAAACTGATAGATTAACAATAAGAATAAGATTTCAAAGTAAAAACACAGTCCCAGATACTTTGAATCACAGTATACATCGTTATCTAACAATTCAGCTACCAATAAACATATAGAAAAACGAATGGTAAATTTTCTTGGAAATTCGAAAAGTTTTCACAAAACTCTTATATTAAAATAGAAAGAGTTATGTAGATATACTCGGTAAAAAAATAAGTTACTAAAAGTTATTATTTTAAATTCACTATTTAAAATACATCGAGTCTCGGAGTGAACATCATCTCTGGGATCGAGGTATATCCGGCTGATGTGTCAAAATGGGACGAAATGTGTATCCTAGATTTCACTGCTAGTCACTACCCATCTCTAATTATAATCCTTATGACTTAAGATAATATCGAGGTAATCAGCACAGGATGTATGTATACTAATAAGAGACTGACCAATTGCAGTCCTAAACATCAATAAGAAGATTCAAACAACCAAATACAAGATGAATTATGTCGAATTTCTGACTCAAAGTTCATTATTTGTTGCATAATGAAGTTACTTACAGTTGATGAGAAGTCTTAATATAAAATGAATTTATTCTCTGAGAACTATGGTGTTTACAATTAATTTATAATTAATATAAGTAATCAGATTTATTCAGTTCTTTACGTGAAACAAACAAAAAAACTTCTCACTTTTACTTCTGGTACAATTTGTTGACAAAACTACAGAATAACTTTGGATGTTGAGAAAGAATATAATTTTTTCATCGATCATTCCAAATAAAAATATACGTTTATTACTCGAAATAGTCAACATTTATAATCACGAAAGAAAACCAAATTACTTACTCATATGCTGTGTAACATTCAGGATATAAACTAAGATACCAGCGTCCAGGTGTTGGATAAGGAAAAAATAAAAAACTTCGATCTACACTTTCATTGAAAGAAGTATCAAGATTGGGCGGTCGTTCACTTCGACGTGGTGATTGACTAGAAGCAAAAACTTTCGAAGCAGCAGATGAAATAGCATGAGCTACAGATACCGCTAACCCATGATCTGTAGCTAAACGAATCCATAAAGGACATTGATGAATATCTGTGAAACCTTTTGGTGTATTAGTTAAATGTCTAGCAAAACAACCATGTAGAATAATTTGACGTGGTAAAGGCTGAGTAATAAGAAAAAAATTGAACAGATTTTATTATTTTCTTTAATAACTCATTGTGACTAAATACATTTTAAAAAAATATTATCCAATATTAAATGCAATTTTTGAATAATTTTATATGCATGTTTGATATAATGACAAACGAAACATCATGAAAGTAAAGTATGATACCTTCTTTGGTTTACAATATATAACTGTATTTAAACCAATTCTAGAATCCACTCGATTAAATAACTACATTGTAATATGCAAAATCGAACTTTCTCGTAGGGTTACACGAAAACTATGTTTAATTTGATTTTCGGTCATTGTCTAGTAAAGCAAATGTTACACGAATGTGTAAAGCAGGATTTTCTTTTAATAAAAGTAAGATAGAACGATGAATAAAGGAAGGAGTGATTTGATCTCTATGTAAAAATAATTTTAAATTACAATTTTTAGGCTTGGGAAGATTGACGTACTTACCACGAAAAACGTAACTATAATAACACACATACACAAAAAAAGATGGTAGATTTTGTATTATCACTAACAAAAGATTCTACTTGATAATTTGAAAGTAAATAGAGTATTGGGTAGATTGTTTGTAATAAAAATGATACGTTTCTAACTGTTAAGTTAGCAACAGAAAAACCCTTTTCTATATTATATGTTACTTTTTTGAGTGACAAATAAGTAATTCAAGTTAATTAAGTTTCAATACCAAGAAGTTTTTCTATGTTCAACATTCTTTAAAAATTTGGTGCTCAGTGAGAATGTACTTCACATACAATTAAAAAATAAATCAGTCTCTTCTAGGGATTTCGAATATCATCATTTAGAGTCACCAATTCATTCACAACAATAGATTTCAGTTAAGCTAGAAACTTTATTACATAACAATCAGTTAGAACTGATGAAATAAAGGCCGTTTTACTAAGTACATAAAATATGAAAGAAACTATCAAAAAAGAGCATATTCAAGGATGTCGAGGACATCTACTATTAATAATTTACTAACAGTGAATTTATTTTATGACCCACTTGTTGATGAACTACCCATAAAGTGTTAATAATTTATATGAAAACTTTAGTCAACGATCAGTTTTCGATTTATGAACTAAAAACTAGAATCTCGATTTTGTTTTGTGTTCACCTAACATTAAACTTTCAGCGAATTTACTAGGTTGCTTATCTAACCACACTGGACAATGCTCGATAAAAGCGACAATAAACTGTTCGGATTGTTTTCCCTAAGTAACTGATTCCACGGAATTAGGCTAAATTACAAAAGCGCATATTAGCAGCTAAACACGGAAGATCATTTCTTTCATGCGAGTCGGTAGTATACAGAAAGTCATAAAAATGAGAAACAATGTGAATTACAAAAAAAGTTGAAATGCACTGGAATCTATGAGTTTTGTAATAGGTAGCTAAGAAAAATTGAATTGGTTAATAAAACTAAGACATTTTACGGAAACTTGTTTGAATTACGTGAAGAACCGATTCAAAATCCAGAATCTAATAATAATAATAGAATGGAATACTATTCCCGTGCTATACATGAGACGAAATTCAGTTAATCCGTGTGAATACAAAGATCATAAAGACTTTTGTGGAGATATAACAATTTGCACACAAGTGATTAATAACTAAGATTTAATTGTGTATAACAGATAATCAAGTTTGTCCGTTTTGATTAAAATAAAAAGCAAATGACATACGAATTGAAATGTAATTATATAGATAGAAAATCCAGTTTGGAGTGATCCTTCAATTAAAATCAGTTTTTCGATAAATTACTATTTCGCTATGAATAACTTTGAATGCTTTCACGACTGCAAGATCTTAATTAAAACCCATATAAAAGAAATATACTTTCGTTTTTTATGAAGAAGACCAAGTTGACCAAATTTTAAAGGCTAAAAATAGGAGATAAATTATTCTGTTATGGTTCAAAAAATGTCTAAAATCGTAAGATGATTCATTCGGCCTAAAACAACCATATACAAATTTGTGTTATATAAAGTCAGAGAAAAAAATGGTTCGCAAAGCATTTTGTTGTCAGATTACAGAGCAATCCAGATAGAATGTTTTGTTTTGCTGTGGATTTCATCACCGAAAAAATACCAAAACCTGAATGAAAAACATTCCCTCAAGTATTTCCAAAAGAATTCATTTGTTACGCAGTTATTATTATATGATGTTTTATATTCATTTCCAATATCAGGAACAATGCTACATAGGCAGACAGATATAGTTGGTGATTTATAAATGGAAAATAAAATAAAATCCATTAGCATAAAATCTATCAGAAATTAATCAGTCTAACAATTAATATCATCAATTAAAGCCAAACAGTATCGACTAAATGACAGAAAGTTGTTCAGTTTTAAGAAGCAAACTGATGGAGCTTGGATTGATAAGAGATCCATTAAGACAATATTGATTTATTATTACTTTTTAAAAATAATTTATGTGGAAAAAGAAGTAACAACAATAATATTAGCTAATAATAATAAAATTGTCAAAAGTTGACGCATCGAATTTGTCTAAAACTTTCGGTACATCACCATGTGATAGACAGACATGATAACAACGAATTCTTTGAATAAAAATAATTATAAATTGAAAAATAGCTGACAAGGATTAGACTCCACTGGTCATGATTTCACATTAGAAATCCATGAGTTTCACCTTGAAGTTAGTCACGAGTGAGCACATGACTACTATCAGTATTGGGATTTGTGAAGATTGTAGCATTTTCACAGTTGAATTCACGAGTAGATCTAAGCTAGACTACCATTGAGAACCTGGAAGCACTGGACAGTCATTTATTCCTAGTATGGGACTCCTCAGCAGCGCGCATCCACGATACCGCACGCGAGAGTCGAACCCAGGAACTTCGGTCTCGCTCGCGAATGCTCAACCTCTAGACAACTGAGCATGCATCCAACGGTGTTAATATCTGGCTCTCACTTGTTAGTAGAAGGTGAATCGACAATACAAAATATATATTAGAATGAACAAGATGTTTATAAAAAAGAAAAAGGTAAAAAACTGTAATTCATTTTAAGCTGTGTTATCTAGTGTATTTGATCATTTCTGTTTAACTCGAGAGACATACCTATTCAAGAGTCATATACAATCTCAACTTGCGATAAATAAATTCATACATACTGTTGTCAAATTTCAATATGCCTACACGTTTGGCGTTTTGGAGAAAATCTATCTGTAAAAATCAATATTGAATGTTTTTGTGAATTATATAAGCGGCTTGAGTTGATGTTATCACTTAGTTTATCTACTAATTACATCAAAATTATTGAGTTGGTAGCCACACAATGGTTAAGTAATGACTAAACTGAACCTATGATTGAGTATTTGCAATTTTCGTATAATCGAGTTCTGAAGATTATTTCCCATTGTCGTATAAAAACACCACATACAAAGGTCTACTTAATAATTCGAATACTTTACCTGCAATCTTGACGGTAGTAGTGTACGAAATTAACATTCCATTCGGATTCAACTTGATATTCAGATAATGGAAACTGACACATTTTCACAAATAGGTGAGGCAAACAAACAGACATAACTACTACGCTTTACTTAAACAACTCCACTCAGTAACAACTCAAAATTTTTCCGAAAGTCAGGTAAAATGCCGAAGAGATTCCAAACAATCAGCTCTCTTTGGAAAATTCCAAGAGAAATCTAGAAAACGACGGATTATATTTTCTCAATCTTGATCATACAATTACCGAATGCTACTAATTTGAGCATCTTTCTACGAAGCTTCTAAAATTCCAATATCACTCGTAGAAAGCTGAGGTAATTTGGATCATAGGCTTTTAGCAGTTAAAAAACAATCAGGGAGCACTGGATAGCTTTTTCACTCTAATTTTGGGACTTCTCGCACCGGGCAACCACGACTCTATCAGGAGCAAAACCCGGAACTTTCAGGTCTAGCAGCTAATGTTTTATAGCACCAGGTTGGTATCCAACAGTCAACACTTTCAATTTCGAAATGTACAAAGTTTTCAGAGAACTACCTTATAAAACTATGTTAAAGTAGTATAGTGTTCGCTAGCAGTAAGCACCCATGATGCCACAGGACATTCGTTCATCTGCGCGAATGAAATATCATGGATCGGAGTTAGACTTGTACACCATCGAATACCGGGTCAGCGGCATTCGTCTGAGTGAACAAAAGTCTTGGGTTCATCTCCAGGTTACAGGATCAAGGATGCACACTGCTGAGGAGCTCAATACCAGGACGAAACGATCATCCAATGCTTCCAGTTTCTTAATGGTAGTTTAGCTTAGACTGGCCTCAATAAAATTCAACAATCTCCAAAACCCCTAGCTGTTCGACTTCCTATGGTTTTTGATAATCCTACAGATGGTGGTGATTCACGATGAAAATCATTCACAAAATACTTGGTGATTTGAACAGATTATAATATCTTGATCAAAGTATCAAAGACGAGACAATAATTATGAAAGCTAATAAGCGTATAAAAAAGACTATGTCAATAGAAACATTAGATTATTAATTTTCACATTTTATAAAATAATGTGTCTGTGTTCATTGAAGAGCCAATAAATGTAGATGACTTACAGTTAGTATAAAACAGAATTAAAAAGAAAGATGATGATAAAAATGATAGCATTTTATTAAATCATAACACTTACGGCGACAAATAATGAGACAAAAATATGGTATGCAATTGAGTGATTACATAGACACATGTAGATTTTAAGAGTTGATAATTGAGTTTAACAATCTTGTATGCTGGTTATTACAAGATATCATGAATTTCGATATGGTGAAGAAGGATTTACATGGTTTGAATGTCAGTGACCTAAGAAATTGATTTCTTTTCGCAAATGTTCATAACATATCGAAGAGTAATTATATTGGTTATATCTGTTGGCTGATTATAGACGGTTAATTTCATAATACTGTAAATATATGTTAATACAGTTACTGATTAATCAATATCAAGTATAACTCAGTTTAGTTTATACGAATCTGACTATTCATTAGTGTTAACAAAACACAAAAATCAGTATATTTTAGATAAAATTCTAATTTGTTTTAAGCGTCAAATAAATCCTTATCTATCCTATTCGTGCTCTACTTTGCATCGCTTGATCCACAAGTTCCAATAGTTAGTACCAGATGTCCGTTGACGAGTTTTGGAGGGTCAATAAAAATTTCCATCTTCACCAGTTTTATCATCTTATTTGCTTAGCGTAAATCACACGATGCGTTGTTCAAAATAATCAGTCGTTCAAAATCAGTGGTTTTTCAGTTTCAAGTATTACAACAAATTGTTATATATATATATATATATATATATATATATATATATATATATATATATATATATATATATATATATATAAAGTCATGTACACTGAAGAATGATCCAAATACTTCAGAATTCATTTGACTTAACAAAAGTAAAGATAATTTCTAATTATCTAAACAATTCACTATTACATAAACAACTAGAGTCGGTATTGCGAAACATCATGATAGATTTTGGAAAAAAATGTGACTAGATGATTGAGGTACACAACTTTCAATCATTTAACTACAAGTTCTAACCCCATATTGCTTAATTCAGTTTGAACAACTGAGCAATATCACTAGTTGTTATTCAGAACATACAGCTTAAAACTCAATACATTGATCTTTAGCTGTTTAATGAGCTGGATTACTTTTCCATCTTGTCAAAATGTAAATTTAGCGAGTTATAAAACATGTAATGACTTAATTAGTTGTACGGTTTGCCGATTTTCTCAAGTGTCCGTAGAAAATAGTTGATAAAAAATTTCAAATCAAATAGAAAAATAGTACGATATAAGTATTACGGGCACTATTCGACCTGTTATGAACTGTAAAAAGTAAACGAAATACCAACGACTAGTTATTGATATTCAAAAGCTAATAAGCATTCTACAAATTCAAAATCGATAATCACAATGGGAGCAATCATTTGAATCATAGTTAGAGAGTTATTCTAAACAAAGGTTATTACCTAATAGATAATTTAAAGCATTCTCAATCAGAAATAAGAAATTTTTAATTTAAAACTTGACCTTAGAAAGGAATTATTAAAACATATTCATAAAGCGTTCTGTATTGATTGAGACCTAGAAGTTTATTCGAAATTCTAAACGAATATATATTTATATATCTCATATGAGAAAAAAGGAATTCTCGGAAAAAAATATAAATATGGATTAATAATAATAATAATAATAATAATAATAATAATAATAATAATCGAAACACTGAATATGGAAACAATGAATATAACAATCGAATATCACTGAAAAATTCCATTCTATTGAAACACAATTAATATGAACGAAGAATATTCTTTTCAATAATTTCTCATCAGGTTCTACAATTATCTCATATCCAAATTAATAATCCATAAAATTGGTCAGATTTAAGGCAGAGTACATCATTTAAAATTGTAATAGGCGAGCCTAGAATTGTTGTTTAGTCATATAAATGAAATTACTATAATATCCACAAAAAACCCCTTTTGATAAAATAAAATCGTTAATGTTGCGGTTGACTAATATGAAGTGTTAACTTGAATCAGTTTATAAGTGAAATGAAATTGTGAGATTAGAGTAAATATGGTCAACATGGGATGAGAGAGAGAATAATGTAATTAGAAATTACGTAATATGTATAGTGATATGAATTAGGTCAGATTTATTAGAAAGGGGTGGATGTTGAATAAACTTTATTTTATATGACAAGCAATTCTTCATTCATATGATGTACTCTGACTTAAATGTGGCCAATTTTATGGATTATTAATTTGGATATGAGATAATTGTAGAACCTGATGAGAAATTATTGAAAAGAATATTCTTCGATCATATCAATTGTGTTTCAATTGAATATCATCTATGTTTGTCAAATAAGAATAGTCCGTTTTTTTATATTGTTGACTTATCCGTAAGAATTAACTTGTATTTTTGAAGAAAAATTCACTAATTAGTTAAAATGATTAAAAATATAGTTGTTTATTCAATAACAATGATATTAGATAAGTATCAGAAGGGGTTTTGTGGAAATTGTGGTAATTTCAACAGTTGAGATCGTGAGTCAATTGAAGATAGACCACCATGGATAAATATATGTAATAGTAACCAGTAGAAAGAGATTGAGGTTGAGATTTTAGAATGATATTTGAAGACTCTTCTTTTATATTTTGGTTGCAACAAAGTTCAAAACTCACTGAATTACGAAGAATCATTTTGTATTGAATAAGTATTAGTTGTTGATTGTTCTTATAAATAGATAGATGAATAAATTCTTAATTTCAGCATTAACTTTATTGTATATAACATCTCAAGTGATATTATGGCATTTAAAGATGAAGAACACTTTTGTAAAAAGAATTATTATTTTGAGGTAAATGGAAAGGATTTTAAGTAGCAATTAAATACCTAGCAGATGAATTCTTTAATCAAAGAAGACATTCCGTAACAATGAGGTCAGGTAATGATAAGCATAGTTTAACGAAAGTAAGTTATCGAACTTAATCCATTTCCTGTTTAACGAGCTTGCGTTAGCCATGATAGTCACCTAGTTTTTGGGTAGGTGGTCTAGAAAATAGTTGAATGACATTAAAAATACCTAAAGCAATGAATTTGACCATTTGTCAAAGTCACAGTATAATGCATAAAAGTTCACTGTATGTTTTATGTATGAAGCATGATTGTACAGAATGAATACGACGAAACGGTTAAAAGTATCCAACAAGAGAAGACTCCAAAAACATTGTTTCAGTACAACAACGTCAATAAATGAGTAATGTTAAAAGTATGGGTAGACTTTTAATTAAGAAAATGTCCATCAGTGAGGTTATGAAAGTGAATCAAATAAGGTAACGCTTTTTACAAGCCTCACTGACTATCCCAGTAAACATATGCAACGATAAAATAATGTGACATCTCATCTCTAATATCAATATGTACATATTTAATCTTTTAAGCAAACTGTCATTATCGAGAGTACAATAAAATGGATGTTAACTTTTTTCGACGCGCTTATTTACTTTATGGTCCACTTCCGATCTGTCACTAATGATAAACCAAGTTCGTAACATTATACAAATGATTACGTTACAATACTATTTCTCTGTCTTCTAAGTAGTTTTCGCTATTCTTCATACTCCAACACGCGATTTTAACATGCAATTATTTTATGTAAATAATTTGTTTTTGTTCACGCTTCACAAACCATTTTTTGCATTAAGTTATTTCAAAATGTCAATTTGTTACTTTATTGAACATCCTTAGGATTGTGTTCAGATATCCTTCAAGATAACTAACGAGTGATTGTTGAGTTTTTATTAAGATCATGAATTGATCGATGGTGGTCTAATAGTGATCGGTTCATACTGTAAAATATTGATAGAGATCATGTACTCACTTGGTTTTATAGTGGAAACCTGGAGTCATATGTGTATATCGAATGAACAAAACATGATTAGATCCGTTTTACCAATAGCAAGCCGACAAACATATTACTGGTTTCTTGAATATTACTGGTTGAAACAACTCTTTCGCCAAACTTTTAAAACTACTAGTCATAATTTAGTAGAAAACATCCATTTAGTTATTGCATATTTTTGTGTATTGGGGTACTTACTATTGCAGATAAATGCTTTGAACTATACCTTTTTTTCAGGATGATTTATAAGCACTTTTTGTGTCATAAACACATTATCATTACATGGATCGCGAAGTTTCAGAAAATAAATTATTTGGGCAAAGATTTATTTATTGAACAGTTTGGTAACCATAATCAAAAAGATAAAAGGAATTTTCATCCCGAACAGACGTCAGCTAAAGTATCGTCACTTGAAATTAGCGAGTCCCCACTGCTGAAGAATACAAAATTAGGGCAATACGAAAAATCCAGTGTCTTTTAAGTTTCAACAAGTATCCCACTGACGTCAGTTTGTATAAAATCAAAAAATCAACAGAGTGACTAGTAAAATTATAATAATGTCACACTCAAATATTTAACTAACAAGCTACCATTATTTCTTACCTCTCTGTATGTTTCATTGAATTGCCAAGAAACATTTAATGCATTAAGTTGTAAAGCAATCTCAAGAACACTTGACATATCCATTACTGAATTTAATGTTATCGGTATGACTACAATATGCCATGGTTTTAAATGAAGTAGACTGGCGTATCGACCAAAATCAGGCTGTAAAACAAATCCATACAAATATGTAGGAGAAGAAAACAGAGTAAAGCTGTGTTAAACTATAAATGTACATGATTCTATTAAAGACAATTGTATAAACTGATGTTGGAATAAAAGTGTATTTTAAAGTTTGTGATAATTTATTCATAAAAAAAAGTAAATCTAGTAAAATGAGACGGTATACAAGAATTTATATCAGAAGTTTACTGACTACATTTTCCATTTGAATAATCATAAGGTATGATATTTCATGAAAAAATTTATTGAAACTCATTTCAAATGTATTTGCTGAAAAGCGTTGTGTCAGTATATCAATCATAACAATAGGACATGGTGGAATTGTTCGACGGTCCAAATTGCAACATTTCACATCAAAATACCGGTAGTAAATAAATAAGATACATAAAGCAAAGTAGCCGAAACATTGGTGGTATCTGTTGTGATAAAAATTAAATTTACAGAATTTTGATCTAAAAGTGAAGATTTATTTGAAAAGTGAAACTGAACTCAAGATTTAGGAAAAGACAAAGAAATATAATGACAAATTCCGGGCCGTTCCACCCACGGTTTTCAACTACAGATTGTGATTGTGAAGCGTATGTATGTATCTACTAATGAAGATCAGTAAAGAATGACACCTCTGTGTAGGTGATGGTCGGAGATGTATAACTCATGTCCAAGTCACTTAAGCTAATGGAAGTTTACGGCCTCCTTAATCTATTTCCATTCTATACTTGATCACTTCATGTATAACTTCAAAATTACTCACTTGACCGTTCCCATTATAGTCGAGAAATGTCTCGAAGTGCAGCTTATGGATATTTTTTTCTATAGATAGACCGACACAACCATATATGTACATGATTTATCAAATGATTTTGTTGGTCAATAATGTTAAAAGAATTCAATTTTAATCGTAACCAAAATGTGAACTACTTTCTTACAATCATATTTATTATTTTTAAAAAAGAATAATAAAAGATATAAAATTATTTATACAAAAATGCCCTGAATAAAAATATTCTTATTTCGATAATAGTTATTTTTAGAAGATTTAAAACAAAGCGCTTACATACAAAGAATGTTAATATATAAAAAAAAACCGAAAAAGAATATAAATTGTTACATCCCATTATTACCCACCTCTTGAAGAAAAGAATAATTGTTACATAGAGTTGAGTGTGATTTAAACAAAATTAAGTTGGGCGAAATATATATATATATATATATATATACAGGTGAAAGGGATGATTTTGAATGATTTTCCCAATTGAGTTGAACAACTAGCTAATGATATTGATTTAAAATAGCCCAACTTTTATCTAATAACATTGTTCTTAGTGCCAAGAATGCTATAAATATACATGTTGATAATGATTACAAATACGCGTATTCGGCTTCAAGTTACGTTATTTTGGTCCATAGATGTTACTCAACTAACAAAACCAAAGTAAATATATTTATATATAATTCGCGCGACTATATTAACCAATGGTTGGAGACTCTAGGTGACATGGCTCAGAATTGATCACAATGGCGTTGGTGTATACATCATGTGTTCTCTTCAACTGGGAGGTTAGAATTACTTTATATCATTCTTTCTACGAACACATTCTTTCTGCCTGCATCATATCTTTATATGAAATCTTTTATACATATATTACTACCGTTGAAGTAACTGTCTCTACGAATTCGGTGTTCATCTTATTGCGTTAACGGAGGTATGGTAACTTGGACCGATGCATATGTGTACCTGGTCCTACGTTGTAGATGACTGACTGACTAGATTTTTCATCACGAACCGACATCGGCTAAAATGCCAAAACGCTATTTAACTAAATGGACGAATAAATCCCGCACCAAAATCCAAGACCTGTTATCTTAGATTTGATTGGTTCGTCAACAAATTATAGTCTCGCCCACACATGAAAAGTTCAAATGAGAATCATAATTATTAATCGGCTACATACAGAACAAATATAATAAGAGTAGGCTTGAATGAATATTGAATAAATGATATATGGACTAAAATTTTAATGATTTGATGAAAGAATTTCCGATTGTTAAAAAAAATAAAAGAATGCTGATCGATATGATTGAGTGATTACTGTTTATGAGACTGAAATATTAATGAAGACTGTCGAAGGACTTGTGGTCAAAAACAAGATCACTAGCCAGAACCATGAGTTTTCTTACCTAATAGAATTATAAGTTTATATACAGTCGAACAAAATAATAATAATAAACAAAATTACATGCATAAAGCTATGAAAGAAAATCAGCTATACAAGTCACTCTTTTAACAATCAATTAAGAGCCTACAGTTAGGTTTGATTTTGTACACCATATCCATTATGATAGTTTTTAATCGACTACTAAAACAATTTATAGTTAATGCTTAATACAATTACCTGCAAGAAGTAATAATAACAATAATGGTAAAAACAATGAATGTTCTTAACCGTTTTCCGTCAAAATAACTTCACTATGAATTTTCATAAAAACACAAACAATTAATTGTTATTATAACTTAAGAAGATATTAAACCATCATAGAATTAATGAAAATTAATTATATGAAAATAAATAAAATATGCTTTTTACTTGATAAGCAAAATGATAAGTAAATTTCACTGGTAAATGAACACGTGTTGGAGTAGGCCATATATAACACAATGGTAAATCTTGATATCCTGGATGATTAAAATAAAATGAACCAAAATTTGATATGATCAATTGTTGTGTATTTATTGAAGAATGTCTTTTTAACCACTTTTTTTCACCATATTCTGGTGTTAATTCCGGCCAATCAGAATTAATCCAAGGTAATAATGATATACTTAAGAAAAAACGATAATTTATATTATTAGTTCGATTAAAATTGATCTTATCTTTAAATGATTTATTTTCATGTTTCATTGATAAAAATTGTAATGAAATTTTTGAGATTGTTGATGTAAATAATCACCATGATGGAAATTTCTGGAATTTTTCATTAGTGAACAACCTACATAGATGGATAAATAAGAAGAAAAAGATTAAGAAATATAAAATTTATTTAATTTATAAAATGAAGTTTTAATGTTTCATTTTTCATTGAACTGAACAAAATAATAATTACACAAAGTTAAAGGAATTCATTTTAACTGAGATCATGAATCGATCAATATTAGACCACCATTGAAAACCTGGAAGCACTAGATTCGAATCCCGCGTGCAAAATCATGGATACACACTGTTGAGGAGTCCCAAAATAGGACAAAAATTTCGTCCAGCGCTTTCAGGTTCTCAATGTTGGTCTAACATTGATCGATTCATTATCTCAATCAAGAAATCAACAATCTCCACAACCCTATACTGAGAATTCATTTTCTTTTGAAGTTTGTTTAGTTATTATGACAGTAAATAGAATTAGTTAATAAACAGATCTAAGAATAGAAAGAGTATAATTATGTAGTGAAATTTACAAGCCTAAGTAGTGTTTAAAAATTATTGAGAAATGAATAAGAAAGAAATATTTTAAAATTGTTAATAGTTTGATGCCTTTATATATATATATATATATATATATATATATATATATATATATATATATATATATATATATATGAGAAGAATGAACAGTTGGATAGAAGTAGAAAGGAAGACCCAGGAGAGAGTGGGTTGGAGAATGCTGGTCAGCGGCCTATGCTCCACTAGGCGTAACAGGCGTAAGTAAATAGGTAAGCTGAACAAATGTTTAGTTTGTTGTGAGCATCGTTTATTAATTTGGAATATTGTGTAGATCAAAAAGAAAAAACCACAGGTTCCCTAAATCTCAGGAAAAAAGATCAACTTTGACAATATCTATGCGATAATTGATGTCATATTAAATATAATACTCAAGATACTTTTATCTACAAAACTTTTGAGTTGATAATTCAACTGGTAGAACAATATCAACTGATAATAGTCAAATCGAAATTGTAATACGGCATGTATGCTCTGTTAGAACCATCTTTTCATATTTTCAACACTACATCTTAAACAACTAAATCTGACCTACTTCAAAATTCGTATTCAACTTGGCATTTTTTTATTCAAAAATAAACTGTCAATATGTTCGAATTAATCAGCATTGAACAGTATAATGATAAAAAACAATCATTTACCGGTTGAAGTACTCTACTTTAAACTACTAAATCGTTATTTTGAACTGCGATTCATCCCATTTGACTGAAGCAGTTAATGCATCTATACAATAACTGTATGACTTGAAATCAGTTAAATAAACTAATACTTGTAAAATGAGTTATTTTTTTACTAATATAATTTAATGTGGCTGAAATTACGAAGATATAGTATTTTCTGATTGTATACATATAACTTTTTATACATGATGTGAATAGACACTAGTGACATTATTCTACAAGGAATTGTCACGTTCTGTACACAAACACAGTAATAAATCGTAAGTATTGTGACATACAATAAGTTAATTGCTTCAGTTATGTATTCAAGTGTTTATCTAAAACAAAGTTTATCCTATAATTTGTTTTTTACGTGATATACGATATATATATATATATATATATATATATATATATATATATATATATATATATATATATATATATATATAATTAAAATAACCCATAGTGTCATTTAATAAGAGAAAGAGAATTCAGCGAAGAAAATTTTCCCTTCGACGAAATCATTTACTTAAGCTGTACATTCGTATATACAGTTAGATGGAAAATGTATGTCTATAGGAGGATAGAAAAAATTGCATCACCAAAATGGATTCGAGGATAAATAACAATGAGGTTATGTACTAATCAAGGGGTATATATATATATATATATATATATATATATATATATATATATATATATATATATCATGGATTTAATTTAGATAATTACCTTACCACAGAATAGGTATTATGAAACAACCCACATTATCGACAATGATAGAAAAGAGAATAAATGATCTATCTGTATATTGGTAATTTTAACCTGTTCATTTATGTAAACTTATTATATAGAATTAATTATAATTTTCTAATGTACATTAATATTATAATATCCAAAATGAAATGAATGAATTTATTGAATGATTTTGGCTAAATTACATTATATAATCCGAAATATACAACCCATCTATAATCATATAATTAAAGGTCAGTGCAATTTACATCTTTGATTAAACAATTAAAGTGATAAATAATGGTAGAATAAGTCTTATGTAACATTTGTTCGTATCACAATTTACATAACGATATTTAAAACAAAAACTCCGCCTGTAGCTCTAATAGGGTTACTGCCGGTCCCAAGCCCGGGTAAAGGAGGAGGGTTGGGCATGGGGTTAGCGTCCCCATCCCGTAGAAAACTAACTCGCTAAAAAAACGCTTACCAGAAAAAATTATTCAAACCATTTAAACTCTGCCCTGGGAGTTAGAAGGTCTTCAGTTAGAAGAATTATGACGCTTCATGGTGAAAGCCGAGTTCCTTCGGAAGCCACGAGGCCGATGCCCCTTCTAACAACCAGAGCAAAAATTTTTATAGGTACATGGAACGTTCGAACAATGTGGGAAACCGGGAAGACCAGTCAAATAGCAATGGAAATGAGGAGATACAACTTAGCAGTACTGGGAATCAGCGAAACCCACTGGACCCAAGCTGGACAGAAAAGGCTAGCTACGGGAGAGATGCTGCTATACTCCGGTCACGAGGAGGACAATGCTCCACACACTCAGGGAGTCGCTCTTATGCTGTCCAAAGTAGCACGAAATGCACTTGTAGGATGGGAGTCTCACGGATCCAGAATCATCAAAGCATCATTCAAAACAAAGAAGGAGGGGATCTTAATGAATATTATCCAATGTTATGCACCCACCAATGATAGCAACGACGACATTAAAGATCAGTTCTACGAGCGGCTACAGTCAATCATTGAGAAATGCCAAGAAAGGACCTAACTATTCTGATGGGAGATCTAAATGCCAAAGTCGGAATAGACAACACCGGATATGAAGATATCATGGGACGACATGGACTGGGACAGAGAAACGAAAATGGAGAAAGATTTGCAAATCTATGTGCATTCAACAAATTGGTCATAGGAGGCACAATATTTCCACACAAGCGTATACACAAGGCTACATGGATCTCACCGGACCACACTACAGAGAACCAAATAGATCATATTTGCATCAACAAAAAATTCCGAAGGACAATGGAAGATGTAAGAACCAGGAGAGGTGCTGACGTAGCTTCAGATCACCACCTAGTTGTAGCCAATTTAAAACTGAAGCTAAAAAAGAACTGGACAAGTGGACAAACAGCACTACAAAGGTTCAATACAGCCTTCCTTCGAGATACTGACAAACTCAATGAATTCAAGATAGCTCTCAACAACAGGTTCCAAGCCTTACAAGATCTACTGAAAGAAGAAGAAACTAGTATGGAGGACAACTGGAAAGGCATCAAGGAAGCATTAACTTCAACGTGTCAAGAGGTTCTGGGCCTAAAGAAACACCATCATAAGGAATGGATCTCTATAGAAACACTGGACAAGATCAAAGAAAGGAAGAACAAGAAGGCAGCAATTAACAACAGCCGAACACGAGCAGAGAAAGTTCAAGCACAAGCTGAATACATAGAAGCAAACAAACAAGTGAAGAGGTGCATTAGAGCCGACAAGAAGAAATACGTGGAAGAACTAGCAACGACGGCAGAAAAAGCTGCTAGAGAAGGAAATATGAAACAGCTTTACGATACAACGAAGAAACTAGCAGGGAAATACAGTAAACCAGAGAGGCCGGTCAAAGACAAAGAAGGCAAGCCAATCACCGAAATTCAACATCAGCGTAACAGATGGGTGGAATACTTCGAGGAACTCCTGAATAGGCCGGCTCCAATGAATCCACCGGACATCGAAGCAGCACACATAGATCTTCCTATAGATGTCAACCCACCAACGACGGAAGAAATTAGAATGGCCGTCAGACAAATCAAGAACGGGAAAGCAGCAGGACCCGACAACATACCAGCTGAAGCACTGAAATCAGACATCGAAGCAACCACAAGCATGCTGTACCTTCTATTCAAAAAGATTTGGGAGGAGGAACAAGTGCCAATGGACTGGAAAGAAGGACACCTCGTCAAGATTCCAAAGAAAGGAGATCTGAGCAAATGTGAAAACTACAGAGGCATTACACTACTGTCAATACCAGGGAAAGTCTTCAACAGAGTGTTGCTGAACCGGATGAAGGATGCAGTAGACGCCCAACTTCGAGATCAACAAGCTGGATTCCGTAAGGATCGGTCGTGCACAGACCAAATTGCAACACTACGGATCATCGTCGAACAATCAGTGGAGTGGAACTCATCACTATACATCAACTTCATTGATTATGAAAAGGCATTCGACAGTGTAGATAGGAGGACATTATGGAAACTTCTTCGACACTACGGAGTTCCTGAGAAGATTGTCAACATTATCCGGAACTCATACGACGGACTACAGTGCAAAGTAGTGCATGGAGGACAGCTGACAGATGCATTCCAAGTAAGGACTGGAGTCAGACAAGGCTGTTTACTCTCTCCCTTCCTCTTTCTTCTGGTGGTCGACTGGATTATGAAGACCTCAACATCTGAAGGAAAACACGGAATACAATGGACAACTCAGAATCAATTAGACGATTTGGACTTCGCAGACGACCTAGCCCTCCTATCACGTACACACGAACAGATGCAGATGAAGACAGCCAGTGTAGCAGCAGTCTCTGCATCAGTAGGCCTCAGCATACACAAAGGGAAAACCAAGGTCCTCAAATTCAACACGCAGAACAGCAATCCAATCACTCTTGATGGCGAAACTCTGGAAGATGTAGAGTCCTTCACATACCTAGGAAGCATCATCGATGAACAAGGAGGTTCAGATGCAGACGTAAAGGCGAGGATCGGCAAAGCAAGGGTCGCATTCCTACAATTGAAGAACATATGGAACTCAAAACAACTTTCAACCAATATCAAAGTGAGAATCTTCAATACGAACGTCAAGGCAGTTCTACTGTATGGAGCTGAAACTTGGAGAACTACAACAACCACCATCAAGAAAGTACAAGTATTTATAAATAGCTGCCTACGCAAGATACTCAACATCCACTGGCCGGATACCATCAGCAATAGCCTTCTGTGGGAGAGAACAAAGCAACTTCCAGCTGAAGAAGAAATTAGGAAAAGACGATGGAAATGGATAGGACATACATTACGCAAACCGTCAAACTGCATCACGAGGCAAGCCCTAACTTGGAACCCTGAAGGGAGGCGAAAAAGAGGAAGGCCAAAGAACACATTGCGTCGGATTATAGAAGCAGATATGAAAAGGATGAATTACAACTGGACGGAGCTAGAAAGGATTGCCCAGGACAGGGTTGGATGGAGAATGCTGGTGAGTGGCCTATGCTCCTTCACGAGGAGTAACAGGCGTAAGTAAGTAAGTAAGTAAGTAATTTAAAACAAAAAAAACTTAAAATGTTAGACAATAATGAATGAAAAGTTCCAATGTACAATTCTAAGATTGTTTAACAATGAAATGCTTATACCTTTGTCATAATGCAAAAGAAAATTATATTTTATTTTTCGTAATAACTAATTGTTGTCTTTAAAACGAATAGATCGAATAGCAGTTATCAAAAGATAAGGTCCTAATTAGTTATCATGATATAGTAAAATTAATCTTTATTATTCATACCTGATATGACTAAAAAGTCAATTGGTCTCCGAAACATTTGAATTAGATATTTTTGTAAAATTATTGCATCACAATCAATTAGTAATAAACAATGTAGGACCTAGCATAAATGTATACCAGGTTAAGATGACCTATATTGTTTTAACACAACGAGATGAAACTAAGTACTAAGGCAGTGAAAGTAGTAGTATAATAGATCGCTAAAAATGATATTAATGCAGTGTCCTTCAAGAAAATTTCGATGAATAACGAATATTTTTAATTCTTCGTTTATAGCTACAAAAAAGAAACTAGATGGGATTTCTAAAACTAATCAAATAGAAGAAAACTACAGTATTTTGTGTCCTTTTACAATGATTAGTATCATTTACACAGCCACATATTTTACAAATTCTATCTAAACATTAGACGATTAGTAAAAGGTTACAAACCACTGAGATAAAATCAACCCCAAATACTTTTTATTGCCTTAGTAATATGATAGTCAGTAATTCGACTTTTACGTCCGGTGGCTAAGATTGTCTTTATTGTTTCGTAATTTCTTTAGTAACATCACAAGAATTTTATGTAGATGATATAGAATATTGCTGATAAACATCACTCGCTTCATCTTTTAATTGATTAAATCGCTTCCACAAGAATCAATGGTGATCATTATTGGCATTGATTACTCACTATTCTAAATCATTTTACGACATTTGTATTTAATGTCCATGTGTACGAATAGTAACTGAGATTCAATTTAATCATAATTATCAGGCGTACATATAAAGAACTCACCAAACTTAGGAATTATAACCAATCGTGAGTACACAGCAACATGAGAAGCTTGATTAAGAATGTATAAATAGTGATTTATTTGAGAACCTCGAAGTCCTATTAAGCGGAATATCCTCTGAATGCTTGAGTCCTGAGTATAATTGAAAGTGTTTGAAGATGGTGAACCAACATTCGATGAAAAACCGATCCCACGTTCAGGCTTGTCTGTCGTTGAAACTCTAAATCCTTGAGATTGATGTAGATAAGAAAGACTAGATGGTAAAGCTTCAACACTACCATCAATAATAATTGGACAAGCAGAAGAATCAAATATAATCTCATTGGGCAAGTTATCACGCAAAGATGACTTTGTTTTATCATTTGAAGTCGAATTACTATGCTTGGACACCGAAATATTTCCATGAGATGGAGCAATCGGTGTAACAATTCTACAGTCTTCTAATATTACGTCAATACTAGTCATCTCATCCATGATGGTTAATCTAGAAAAAGTTTTAAAAAAGAAAGATTTGAAGATCGATAGTACAGTTAGTGAGGAAATTTTTACTTGGATACCACCTTATTTGAACCGAACAAGAAATTCATATCAATTAGGGAGTAAACTTTTGTGAAAACAGCTGCTTTAAAGAAAATAAATACATAGTTAATATCGACTCAAAACTTGTTAACACACCTGGGATATCTCATGAGAATAACTGTCATGTTAGTTCTATGAGCTGAGAATAAGACAAATTTTATATTATCAGAATGGGTTTTGTGGAGATTTTTAGAAATTTCACAAGTTGAAATCATGAGCCAGTTGAAGCTAGACCACCATGGAAAACCTGGAAGCACTGGACGGCCGTTTCGTCCTGGTATGGGGCTTGTGAAATTTCTAAAAATCTCCACAAAACCCATTCTGATAATAATAATCACCTGCTCATTAGCGACTGACTTCAGGAGTTCTAGTGAGAAGTCGTTACCAGTGGAGTTGAACCAGGTCTGTTGTGAGATAGGAACTCACTGAAGACAATGGTGTATGGTGGCGCAACTTCGTGGTTTGGATGAAGTTAGACATTAACACCGCTGGATGCCGGCTCAGTGGTCTAATGGTTAAGTGCTCGCGCGCGGAACCAGTAGGTCCTGGGTTTGAACCCCGCGGCGTGCGGGGTCGTGGATGCGCACTGCTGAGGAGTCCCATACCAGGACGAAACGGCCGTCCAGTGCTCCCAGGTTTCAACTTGTGAAATTTTATATTGCCTAAAACGAGTATCCTACTGAATATAAAATGTGTATATATGGTTTGTTCAAATAACTTATATTAAAAAGAAGACAGTAGTATTAACTGTAATAACTACAGGGGTATCACTCTTCTCTCAATACCGGGAAAAGTCTTCATCAGGGTATTGTTAAACAGGATGAAGGACTCCGTAGAAACCCAACTTCGAGACCAACGGGCAGGATTCCGTAAGGATCGATCGTGTACAGACAAAATCGCAACTCTACGGATCATTGTGGAACGATCAATTGAATGGAATTCATCACTCTATATCAACTTCATTAACTACGAAAAAGCATTTGACAGCGTGGACAGAACAATACTATGGAAGCATCTTCGATACTACGGCGTGCCTCGAAAGATAGTCAATGTCGTACAGAATTCCTATGATGGATTAAACTGCAAAATTGTGCATGGAGGACAACTGACAGACTCGTTCGAGGTAAAGACCGGTGTCAGGCAAGGTTGCTTACTCTTATAGCGACTCACGTGCGATTGAGTTTATTCTCATTTAACTCAGTTAAGCCCTTTTGCTAACTTATTTAACGGACAAAGTCATCCGCACTATAACAATCTATTGTACCCTTATTATTTTGTGCTTGTATAAAATACGTATGCTTGAATATGGCTTACTGCCTACGCATTTATTCACTCTGCTAGTCTTACTACTAACTGCTTATTTGATTCGATTACTCATTCATTTCACATGGTATATATATGTCCGTGTTATTCATATTCAACACTCACTCACACACTCTCGTCTCGCTCTTGCTCTGGCTCTCGCTCGCTTGCTTGCCTTTCGGCACAACTCTTCTATGCTTGTTTAACGCATCCGTACATTTGGATATATGTGTGTGGTCTCGCAATAAACGTAATCAACACTTCGTATTTGCCTTCTGATTCATATACCGTTGGTACGTTATATAGAACGGTTATCAAGACGAACTGTATACGAAGTTTAGTGATTATATCGAATACCGACCACCACACTCTCACCCTTTCTCTTTCTCCTGGTGATCGACTGGATCATGAAGACGTCAACATCTGAAGGGAAACACGGGATACAGTGGACATCTAGGATGCAGTTGGACGATCTAGACTTCGCAGATGATCTCGCCCTTCTATCCCAAACGCAACAACAGATGCAGGAGAAGATGACCAGTGTAGCAACAGCCTCAACAGCAGTAGGTCTCAATATACACAAAGGGAAAAGCAAGATTCTCTGATACAACACAGCATGCACCAATCCAGTCACAATTGACGGAGAAGATTTGGAAGATGTAAAAACCTCTACATATTTGGGTAGCATCATTGATGAACATAGTGGGTCTGATGTAGATGTGAAAGCACGGATCGGTAAAGCACGAGCAGCCTATTTACAACGGAAGAAGATTTGGAACTCAAAGCAACTGTCAACCAACACCAAGGTCAGGATTTTCAATACAAATGTCGAGACAGTTTTACTGTATGGGGCAGAAACTTGGAGAACTACAAAAGCCATCATCCAGAAGATACAGGTGTTTATTAACAATTGTCTAAGCAAAATACTTCGGATCCGTTGGCTGGACACTATTAGCAACAACCAACTGTGGGAGAGAACAAACCAGATACCAGCGGAGGAAGAAATGAGGAAGAAGTGCTGGAAGTGGATAGGACACATGTTGAGGAAAGCACCCAACTGCGTCACAAGACAAGCCCTCACATGGAATCCTGAAGGTCAAAGGAACAGAGGAAGACCAAAGAACACATTACGCCGGGAAATGGAGATAGACATGAGAAAAATGAACAAGAATTGGATGGAACTAGAAAAGAAGGCCAAGGACAGAGTGGGTTAGAGAATGCTGGTCGGCGGCCTATGCTCCCTTAGGAGTAACAGGCTTAAGTAAGTAAGTATATATGGTTTGTTCAAATAACTTATATTAAAGACAGTAGTATCAATGACGTGACGGAAACTGACTCCTAACGTCTAAGCTTTCCAATAATTTATTTTGCATGAAAATTCCTCTTAAAAAATTTTCATTCTCACCGTTTATTTTTTGGCATTCGTTCTAGGCCTCATCTTAAGGATATGATGCAACTTAACAGCTATGGGACACAATGCACCTGTCATAGTTGCAACTCAACAAGACAATGAAGCACAATAATTATGCGGGAAATGTATGAGAGTCGCACCCATTATTTTATTTTCAAGGCATTGTGATCTGTAGAATGTAAAATTAGATTGGGCACAAAATATTAACAAATGGGAAGATTCCCTAATACGAATGTGCACCGAATGCAGGGTTAAACAGGTCGAACGACTCGTACACATTCTAACAATGAAAAAGCACTTTTGAGAAAAATGATAAAGAAAAGAGGACTTTAAGATAGGGCAGTAACATGAGTATAAATTAAACTATGTATAGATTACTATTCAAACGATAAGACAGTATGAACAGGTGTGTATTAAGTCCTGATAGCCACCTGCTTGTGTGATGAGGTAAAGTTTAATTCACTTGATACTGATCAGCCCTAATGGGTTGGTGTCTGAAGAAATCTCAGCACGGATTCGAAAAGCTCGTTTGGCTTTTGCCAACTTACGTCACCTTTGGCGAAGGCGAGATATCCGTCTATCAATAAAAGGACGAGTATACTACGCGGCAGTCCGTTCTGTTTTACTTTACGGCAGCGAAACATGGCCTTTAAGAGTAGAAGACACCCAAAAGCTACTAGTATTTGACCACAGATGCCTTAGAAATATTGTTGGCGTCTGTTGGGATCACCGGGTAAGTAATAGTGAGGTTAGACGCAGGGTATTAGGTAATGATGGTAAATCAGTTGATGAGGTTGTTAATCTTCATCGACTGAGATGGTTGGGCTACGTGTTACGTATGCCTGAACACCGATTACCACGACGTGTAATGCTAACCGGTGTTCGGGATGGTTGGGAGAAAGTTAGTGGCAGCCAAAACAAAACGTGGCACCAGTGCTTGAAGTCACTAACTTCTAGTCTGAGCTATGTTGGTAGATGCAGACTACTTGGTTGGGGTCCGCGTGACTGTCGTAACCAATGGTTGGAAACTCTCGGTGACATGGCTCAAAATCGATCACAATGGCGTCGGTGTATACACTCTCTGTCTTCCCTTAAACTAAGAGATTAAATTCGCTTCATATCTTTCTTTCTACGTACTGAATCTTACTTCCTGTCCTGTATCCTTATATGCCATCTTTCTTTTATGTATTACCACCATTGAATTAACTACTATAAATTCGGTGTTCATCTTGTTATGCTAATGAGATATGGAAACTTGGACCGATGCATATATGTGCCTGGTCCTACGTTGTAGCTGACTGACTGGCTGACTGTGTATTAAGTGATACTACCACACTTATAAGATCCAAATAAGTAAACTAAGTTATGAAAGTGAATAATAATAATAATAATAATAATAATAATAATAATAATAATAATAATAATAATAATAATAACAATTTTTGTAGCATCAACATTAACAGATCACGATCGTCTTCATCATCATCGGTCAAAAATAACAAAAGGAAAAATTCAAAAAAATAAATGATCTGCGACTCCTGATAGAGCTCTGCACGCTAGCTAGAGCATTATAGTAAATAAATGACACACGCATAACTTTCCCAGTGGATAGTCGAAGACAGTAAACCACATTTCATGATATTAATTTCAGCACTTGACATCATCAACAATATTCCTGAACTTTGGAAACTAACGACTTATAATGAACAACTAATTACAAATAGGTTTCTAGTTCAGTTTGTGTAATCCAACATATGACAAAGACCCACTAAATGATATTGTCCCATTTTTAATATTGTATGAAAATAACCAAAACGAATGGAATTTAGGCGAAATGGCAGTGAATGAAAATGGCACTTATAAGATATAAACAAAGGCCTTCAAATGCACTGGTACGGCTGAGGATGAGGGCAGTCGCCTCCCCACCACGAAATGCTCTCATGCAGCCACGCTTATACAGCGACTGCCAAGGAAGTCCTGCTCACTGCATCCTTGCGGTGGTGTTACGAACTTGAGAGGATAAAAATCGAATGTACGGCGCTTGAACCGGGTCGGTGGATATTTAGGATACACCTAGAGGAAGTATAAGACCCCGATTCCAAACCAATAATGTACATGGGCTTCGGAATACTGAAGGAACAAATCGCATATGAACGTATTCTTGGACACCGGCTACTAAGGGACTGAACCTCCTAACATTGCCCCATTGACTTGTAAATTAGACTCCTAGGTCAGGCTCAGGGAGCGGCCACTGGGAAAACCACCTGCTTCGGTTTAGGAACCCGAGCAGTGTCTCAGGCCACACACAAACTAAATAATGACAACCATAAGATGTATTTACGCTTCAATTATCATTCTAGCAACTCATACTCAAAACTACCTGTCAATACTTGTTTTTATTTTAAATTGCGTTACTTTCCTATTCCTTTATTCTTCAAATTGTATAGTATACAATAACCCCTTTCTGTTGTTTTATTCAATTATGGGGTTAGACAAGGTTGTTTAATCTCACCATCGCTCGTCAACCATACCATAGATGACATTTCGCGGGTAACTCTGTTGGATGTAGGTAATGTTGGTGTGGATCTGTTAACATAAGAAAGACCTTCCGACCTTGGGTGTGCGGTTGATATTGTCTTACTGTGCGATTATATCAATGACATGCAATCTGCACTTAATCAGTTGGCAATCTGCGTCCATAGGTATGCCATGTCAGCCAGTCAGTCAGTAACAACATAGAACTTCGTACGTACGTACATCAGTTCGAGTTGCCATACCACATCAGCACACAGATACAATTGTCGATTCAAATCCTATGGTGGTAGAGATAGTAAAAGCATAAGCAGTATTTGGATAGATTAGGGCTTGAAGATGTTAGTCAAGGAGTATAATCCAGTGAAATAAATTCGGCAAGATAAAAAAGAAAGGGACATGAAGATTTCAGAAGATTAGAATTTGGGAGGACATAAAGAGTAGATGCACCTGAGCCATTGCAAACGATTCTAAGCCATCTCATTCAAGGTCTCTAATCATCGGTTGCTATCGTCTCGCGGATCCCAACCAGGTAGTCTACACCTACCAACATGACTCAGCCCACTTGTCAGTGACTTCATGGATTTGTGTCATGTTTTGGTCTGGCCGCCTCTAGCTTTCTTCCAACCTACTCTTATGCCATGAAACATCGCACGTCGGGACAGTCGGTTGTTGGGCATACGCAAAACATGTCTCAGCTATCTCAACTGATGAAGTCTCACTACTTCATCAATTGATTTGCCAATCTTACCTAGTACCGTTTCCTAACAAGTGCGTTAATTACTCGGTGGTCCCAGGATATACGATAAATGTTTCGAAGACACCTATGATCAAATACTAGTAACCTACGAATATCCCCTACTTTTACCGGCCATGTTTCACTGCCATAAAGTAGGACGGGACGAACTGCTGAGTAGTAAACACCTCTTTTGATTGATAGACGGATATCTCGCCTACGCCATAAGTGATGCAAATTGGTGAGAGCTAGTCGAGCCTTCTGTATCCGTGCTGAGATTTTGTCACACACTAGACCATATGCTTTGCACCTTTCAAGTTCAAAGTACTTCTACAAGACTGGTAGGACCCTGAACGTGCACTCATCCTGGGTAGTGAACAGATAGAAGCAGTAGAGAAGTTCCAGTATCTAGGTAGCTACCTAAGTGCTGGTGATGAAGTGAGATCAGGTCAACTCACGTATAGTGGAAGCCAGAGCGGTTTATGCCAATCTGAGACATTTTGACGCCTTTGTAATGTTAGCCTGAATGTAAAAGGTCGGGGTCTACAACGCGTTGGTGAGAGTAGCTTTGCTCTATGTTTGTGACACCTGGCTTCTCAGAGTTAAGGATATTGGACGACTCGGTGTTTGATCATCGCTGTCTCCGAAGGATTGCTGACATGCAGTGGCAACACCATGTTAGTAATGCAGAGGTTCGGCAACGTGCTTCTAAGTAGCAGACAGGTACATCAATAAAGAGACCGTTTAATGATGAACTTAATACAGGAAACGAAAATGGTGTGGTCTAACATAAACTACTTGATAAGACGATGGGATATCAGCCATCTTATAAAATATCAACACTACAGATCAGTCATATGTTTAGTTTTTTATGCCTGAAAAACATTTGTTCTGGACTATGAGCTTCGAAAAAACTGCACTCAGTAAGTAATAAATTTGTTAAACACAAGATTTTAAGTGAAAAATATATATTCTAACTATTCATTCCACTCAAAAGATGTCAATAATGAAGTAAAAATTTGAGTAATTAAGATATTCCCCTATCATTATTCGTTAAGAGAATCATTTGAATCTAAATATTTGATCATTCCACAGAAGCAGTGAGGTCAATAATGTGCCAGGTAGGACAAAATAAGGTTTGAAACATATTTCTAAAGCGCAGCTGTACACATGAGATAAATAAACAATTAAGTCTAGAAAACTGAGGAAATGTTTCAACAATACTTGATTTTAGAAATCCAGCTAATTCATGTTCCTTTTGAATGAAAATCTAGATATTAAGCAACCATAGTTGTTTATAAAATACTTACTTAAAGTTCTTGACGTCTGCTTATTTTTAAGGACCACTTACAAGACTAGGTACAAACGCTATCGAAACAAGCAAAATAAAATGGCAATTCAGATTAAACTAATTGCTGAAAGACTCACAAATATAATCTGCCTTCCATGGGGGCCAGCTCCAAGTCAAATGGTGACATTAAGAATGATAATGTCCTTATATGGTATGGATTAATGTTGATTGATTCTGTTGATGAACTTGGAGGTATCAAAGAACTGTGCATAGGTTGGTCCGCCGTAGAGTGAACCACAGAATGATAAAAAGGTTTGCGTCGCTTTTTCCGGTGGAAAAGTTTTTCTACTGCATGAGAACCAATATTGTTCTGCTGGGGAGCTTATAAATACCCTCAATAAATGGTTTACCATAAGAAATTGATTGATTGTGTCTTAACTGAGGATTATAATTGTATGAAATATGTCCATCAATATAAGAAATATCGTGTCTGACAGATGGTAATAGCCATGCTATGCATTCCTTCTAAATATAAAGTTCACAAAATATAAAATCTTACAGTTAAAAACCAAAAGAATCTAATAGTATTACGGAAATTCAAAAGAAGGAGTAGTGATGTTTCATCATTACTATAAGAATAAACATTCAATTATAAGAATTTTTACTTGATTTTCCAATTACAAGGACTACCTCATAAGTAAATTAATATATTCGTAATAACCCAATAAGTAGAAAAATTAAATGTTATGACACTTCGTAACTCAGTGTAAGTCACTTCTTCAGAGAATAAATCAGAAGTGGCTTACACCGAGTCACGAAACGTCATAACATTTAATTTTTCTACGTATTCGGATATTACATATATATTAATCTATTCATAGCAATCTACCCAATGTTCAATAGTTATTATAACCAGTTGTACCAGGGATTGTTTTACTGTACTTGTCTGTTTTACTTTACCAAGAACATACATTCTTCCGTTGATTGTGACCTTGCACGAATTCGGTTACGCTTAGTAACCCCACTTATAACCTGGCACGATCTTGGTATTCTTTCGATACCACGAGATCGCCAACAAATACATCTCGACAACAGCCATCAACTAACTTCTGATATTTGACCTACGGAGGATCTTATCGGTTAACTGGCACGTAGTCTTCCTGTAGTGGTGATCATAGTCAACCGCGACTCGACACCACACTACAGCTTTATGCTCTTAACCCTTAATTTCAATTTCCGAACCTCTCTAATGGTTAAAGATACATTATTATTCCTAAGCGTCATGTCCTTTTTTTCTATTGCAAGTAGACAGATAACTCACTAAACTTATGAATGCTGATCAACTAAGGCCGATCATAAGAAACTAAAAATGTGCTAAATTCTTGTGAGTTGCTCAATGTTTTATTTTTCTTACCCTGAAAATTTTACAAATTTATACTCTTTCATATTCTTTGATTCGCTATTAGTCCTTACCATCTCTAAACCACATATAATCTGACCTTTTTTAAAAACGTTTACCATTAATTATCTTCATAGCAGTGTGATATACTAAATGGATGTTTAACCCATAATACAAATGCTTTATCCATCTGATTTGCTTGTAATATCGAGCTAGTAGAGACAGTGTATTCCAACTATGGTTTTGATTGAAGCAATATTCATACTTACCACAAACGTAAGAGAGCCTAACATCACAAAAGGAGGGAGAGTGGCGTTACTGACCAACAAAAATGCCTCATGTAACAAACAGTTACTTGAGAATAAATTATTATTATTAGACAATAGTTTATAAATACAGGTACTTTTCAGATGATGGTTATAGTAGTTCTCCACATTTGAGCCTCGTACAGTAGAACTGTTTTGACGTTCGTATTGAAGATCCTAACTTTGATATTGGTTGACAGTTGTTTTGAGTTCCATATGTTGTTCAGCTATAGGAATAAGGCCCTTGATTTGAGTTCTCATCTGCGTCGAATACTCCTTGTTCACCGATGATGCTGCTGACTATGTACGTCAAAGATTTCACATTTTCTAGAGCTTCAATACCAAATATGATTCGGTTAGTGTTCTCCATGTTGTATTTGAGGACCTTGCTCAATCCCTTGTGTATGCTAAGGACAACTGGTGCCGAAGATACTGCTGCTACGCTGGTTGTCTTCTATTCCACAGAAGGGCTAGGTCACATGTGAAATGCAAATTGTTCAGCACCATGCATGCTGTCCATTGTATTTTATGCTTCCATTGAGATATGGGGTCTTCGTAATCCAGTCCACCACCGGATGATAGAGAAATGGTGAGAATAATTAGTCTTGTATGACATTGGTCCTCAACTGAAGTGAATCTTCCGGCAGTCCCCCACTTACGACATCATATTTTCAAGAATATAACGAATATATAATAAAAAGTGAATAAAGACTCTAAATATTATGGTGAACTGTAATTGGTATACGTAGACAGTGATGAAAGATAGTAATGTGAAACAAATTATAACCCAACTTGTGCAGAGACAAGAACTAAGTCGTCGTAACAATTAAAGTTCAATAATAAAATGTAAATGGTTCTTTTTGCAGCCTTTTAGACAGATTCGATGAAAATGTGTAAATTCCGAGGGGAAGCTTTCCCCACTTAAGCATAACATGTTGCGACAACAATGATTTGTGATTATCTTCGTGAAAATTTTTCGCCACAGGTAACTTATTTGAGCTTTTTCCAAATCACTGTAGAATCACAGGTCGTGTTAAGTTATGGTCAAAACAAATATTCTTCGTCTCTGATACTTTTTTTGCCTTCAAAAAGTTACTAAAATTAGTACGGAAGTACCAAATACCTTCAAAAGAAAGATAAAATAATGATGCACCAAATAGTAGCGGGCAATGGGAGATCTATAAGTAACGATAACATTTACGAAATTACAATGTTCATTGTTCGGTAGTCAAATAAAGATAAAGAGTACTAAGATCAAACAGAGGTTGTAGTAAGTGTTTGAAGCAAAACGGAAATGGCGACCTGATCGTTCACTTACATAAGTGAGAACCTGTTTTGACTATTGAGGTTGTAATGAGAGGACAGATCAACTACTGAGCCTGTACGTGGAGACCGCTATCAGCCTGATTGATGAAATAGTAAAACCTTACTCAGTCGCCAAAAAAAACGTCGCCAGGTCTTAGATCGCATGAAGCTAAGTGGCTACAGTTTCAGTAAACATAATATGTAGCTTTAGATTGAGATGGACATTGTGAAGCAGTGACTTTGTGCCTAAAGTGCTCGGTTACCGATTCCATGTACAAAACCCACTCCACCGAATTCAGAATGAACATTTAGGTATATTATGTCAGAAGGGATTAAATTCGAATTTGAACACGCATGCTTGACAGATGAGTAAATGTCTGGACATACACTAAATACAAACATAGCATGCAGCTTCAATGATACAGAGTTGAGGAAATTCTAGCATTCCTCACCTAAACGGATGATCATAGTTGCTCCCAACGCTGTAGAACCTCCTAAAAAACAAACCCAACAGTAGAACATCATGAAAGTATGTGCTATGATTTCAAGTCATAGTAGAAATCGACCAATTCAAGTCTTACTATAGCTTTATCAATCATTGAAGACTGGTGAAAAAAAGGAATCGAACTGCATGACGACCATACTCACCTGAAAAGAGGTGGTCATGTAAGCACCAATATACCACATGCCAACAACAGGCCCATGAATATTTATGTCAATGTTTGCTGCATTTCGAAGATTAATTGACTTCACATGGAATTGCGAGTAAGTCCCACAATCGTCCGAGGTAAATGTTAGATTGAATGATTCCTCAATCGGTATGTTTAGTGAATAGGAGTTTCTAGGCTCTAAAACACCATTTGGCACTGGAACATCGAATGGTCTGACTACAGGAAAAGATCCTGAACGAAGAGTTCTAGAAAAAGACAAAACGTGTAATAACAAGGCAAACAACCAACAAACTGATATTTTCAGGACTGCAACCGTGAAAGGTGACAGATATTGAGAGTTTGGTAACGAATGTGTGTTGTGGTATGGGGAAATTAAAATAAACTATATCGTTTGTAGACAAGAAGCTACGAAGTGCGAAATGTGGTAGTTTCTCCGTCTCTAGAACTGCGAAAAACAGTAAATAACTAACTGGAAGACTTACTTGAGAAAGTTAAAGATAGTATTAAGCTAAAAATAAATAAAATATGCCACAACATTATCAAAGAGCGTTATCCCACCAACACGACTAAATGACGCGCAGTATGTATCAAGGTAATTACACTCAAAACCTGATCATTACAATGGTTTACTAAAAATACTCGAAACATTTTTTTAGATAGTCAGCCTCATTTTTACAAAACTTTATTGAGTTTGGTAAATGGGTTGGAGGCAAGACCCAACCAAGAAGAATCCTGAAGCTGGTTCTCGAGAGTTTCGAAGAAAGTGACATATTATTGAAAAGCGCATTAAAAACTCGTGCCTCAAATATCCGTATTCGACCAGATTGGCCGCTTGAGGATCGAATCAAGTGGAAGAATGCTCTTACGGAGTTGAGGACTCGCAAATTAAATGGCGAAAATAACCTTACCATTAAGGGTTTTCGGGTAGTCAGGTCTTGGAAGCCAATGCTTCCGAGGCCTGTATGGGTAGAACGATTGATTGCGAAAACACCTTAGGCGTGTGCTACACGAACGCTCGTAGTCTTAGAAATAAAACGTCCGAGCTAAGTCTGATGGTGCAAGAATTATGTCCCGATATAATCGTTGTTACAGAAACTTGGTTCACAGTAGATATAGACTGTTCTCCGTTCATTGCAGGCTATATCTGTATTATAAGTGATAGAGTTCCAAGTCGCAAAGAGGGAGGTATAATATTATACGTTAGGGATCACTTTCGTATACAATCAACCATATCGGAGGCTCATATCAGTGGCACATGTGAGGTTGCATGTTGCAAGATTAAATCTAGAAGTGGGTTAGTGACTATAGGGGGAATATACCGTAGTCCGTCTTGTCTTGCTGACGACCTTATCCTAAGACACATCTGTTCTTGGAGTATGGCAGAATGTTTATTCAGTGTGCACTTGTACAATGTATCACAAAACCGACACATATTGATTTGCATCATGTTCCGTCACTGCTGGACCTCGCCCTCACCCACCACTCTGAGGATGTCTTTGATATCCAGCACCTTCCTCCACTAGTGAACAGTGATCACGTTGTAATTCACTTTAAGTTTAGGACACATGGTATACAATTCGTATCTGCTCCACCCCGTCCCAATATCTGGCGAGCTAATATTCCGGAAATCAGAAACCGTGCTATCTCGACCGATTGGTCGGTCGACGCGGATGGATTGATCGAAGATGAATGGAATAAGTTTAAGGCTACATTCGAGTCCGTAACGTCGCCGTTTATCCCATGGTCAGCACGTAAGCTATCACATTGCCCTCCATGGATTAATAAGGAAACCCGGAAGCTGTTAAAGCGTAGGAAACATTTCTGGGACTTATTCTTGTTGACAGGTCATGCACCATTTAAGCGTGAGTATCAAAAATACCGTAATATCTGTAAGAAAACCATAGCGAAATCCCGTACCACTTACGAACGACAGTTAGTATATGATAGCCGTACTTGTCCGAAACGATTGTTTTCGTATGTTAAACGGCAAATGAAACGTAGTGATGGTATTCCCCCGTTGCTGTTACACGAAAATTCAGAATTACTAGCTGAATCAGATCGAGCAAAAGCTGAGACTTTTTCAGATTATTTTAGCGAAGTCTTCTCTACGTTTATTGTAACAAATACTTGTCCCACTCACACCGAGATACCAACCATTGAATCCGTACAGGTGACTGAGGAAACTGTCCTTCCGTTGATAACTAACCTCAAACCTGGTAAGATACCGGGCCCTGACGGGTTACATCCACGGTTGCTGTCATCTCTTGCGGACATTATTTCAAAACCGCTTGCGACACTCTTCAACATGTCCCTCTCACTCGCCCAACTCCCTAGAGATTGGAAGGACGCTATAGTTAGTCCTATATTTAAGGACGGTCAGCGACAGATAGTATCTAACTACCGGCCTGTCAGTCTAACTAGCATAGTCGTTAAGTTACTCGAAAAGATAATTCGGGTTAGGTTGCTAAGCCACATAGATTTACACAATCTGTTAGCTCCTGAGCAACACGGATTTCGTAACAAGCGTTCATGCTTGACTAACTTGCTTATTGCGAGGGAGGATTGGACAGCAGCCCTAGATCACGGTCTGTCTGTCGACGTGATATTCATAGATTTTAGCAAAGCGTTTGACAAGGTTTCACACGTAGGTCTTATGCAGAAGCTCACGAGCTTCGGAATAATAGGTACTGTACATGAGTGGATAGGAAATTTCTTATGTGACCGCAGACAGAGAGTTAGGGTCAATGGAACGCTATCCGATTGGAAGCCGGTCAAAAGTGGTGTACCCCAAGGCACCATCTTAGGCCCTCTGCTCTTCCTTCTCTACGTTAATGAGTTACCGCTGTTACTTTATTGTTTGCAGATGATGTAAAAATCTGGAGAACAATAAAAAGTGCGGCTGATCATGTGGATCTTCAAGCTGATTTAGACGATTTAGTTAGATGGGCTCGAGAGTGGGGCTTAGAAATCAATGCTAGGAAGAGTGTACTAATGCACGTCGGTCACGGTAATAGTTACCGTTACACTATTGAGGGTAAACCTCTTCCATGCGTTCAAGAGCATAAGGACTTAGGAGTAATATTAAGTCATGACTTAAAAACAACTGCGCATTGCAAAGCAGCCGCTGTCAAAGGTTTTCGTGCGTTATGGTCACTTCGCCGAGCGTTCAAATCTTTTGACGAGGAAACGTTTCGAATTTTATATCCCATATATGTTAGACCACATTTAGAGTACTGTATCCAAGCAGCTAGCCCGTGTCTAGTAAAGGATACTAACTCCCTTGAGCGTGTCCAGCGTGTGGGAACGAAATTAGTGAAGGGTCTTTCTAGTCTCCCTTACGATGAGCGCTTAAAACGCCTAAATCTTTTCCCCTTGTCGTATCGTAGGACACGAGGTGACCTTATACTGGCATTTCGTATCTTTAATTATGATTTGGGTGTTAATATGTCTTATCTTTTTGCTCCCTCCAGCACTAATAATCTCCGAGGTCATAGCAAGAAGGTTCATAAACCACGATCTAATAAACTTAAAGTGGGATCCCGTTTTTCTCATCGAGTAGTCAATCATTGGAACGCCTTACCCGAACAAGTGGTATCAGCCCCATCAGTGAATACTTTCAAGGAAAAGCTGGACCTTCACTGGAAAGCAATGTGTCAGGATTAACACAGGTTCATCAACCTACTATCCTTATTACTGAAGACTGAAGACTGGTTGTTTCTCCATAGACTAACAATTTCACAGGTTCAAATCTTTGCTTAGATAGAGTTCGTGAATTATTTTCTAGTATGCTCTTATGCTCAGTCTTCAGTAATAAGGATAGAAGGCCTATCGACCTATATTTTTCCTTGCGGTTTGTAATACTGTTTAGGTCCAACCTCGTTTTGAGTATATTAACAGACGGTGCTGATATTATGTGTTCCGGTAGAGAATTCCAGTAATTCACTACTCGGTGAGGAAATGGAAGTCCAGACGTAAACGATTTGATCTCGGTTTTTGAACTTTCTTCGAATGTCTTCTCAAATGATCGGTTCTAGACGGAAACAAGAGATAAGACATGGTAATACCAAGGTCATCGTTCAGTATACGATAAGCCAATATTAGATCACCCCGTACTCTACGGTAAGATAACGGAAATAAGTTTAGGTGTCTCAGTCTGTCTTCATAAGATAGGTCAGCTAGACCTTGTACCATCTTAGTAGCTCGTCGTTGGACTCTTTTTAGCATATCTGCTTCATATTTGAAACAAGGACACGCTGCTTGAATCCCGTATTCTAAATGTGGGCGCACATAAATCGGGTATAGTAATCTAAACATTTCATCATCTAAATACTGGAAAGACCTACGAATTGACCATAATACCCTATAGCCTTTCGCAGCAGCAGCCTTACAGTGACTAGTCGTTTTGAGATCATTGCTTAATATGACCCCTAAATCTTTATAGTTTCTTACTTTGGGTAGCACGAATCCACGTAGTGTATAGTCATACGATTCATCAGAGTTATTTAACTGCATCACTACACTCTCATTAGGATTTACTTCTAGTGATCACCTGTCTAACCATGCCACAAATGAGCTAAGATCGTCCTGTAATACTATTCTATCCGACATACTGTGTATGGGTCTCCAAATTCTTATGCCATCAGCGAAGAGTAGGACGGATGATTTCGCTATATTTGGTAATTCATTTACATAAAGTAAAAAGGGAAGAGGACCGAAGATTGCACCTTGGGGAACTCCACTTTTTACAAGTACCCACGAAAAGAGAGTCACATTTACCCTTACCCTTTGTCTCCTGTCATGGAGAAAGTTCTTTATCCAATCTACGACTGTATAATTGATTCCAAAACGTTACAGTTCGAATTTAAGACCAGAGTGGGAGACTTTATCGAGGGCCTTACTTAGATCTATGAAGATCACATCCACAGGAATATCCTGATATTTTGCAGCAGTCCAGTCTTCTCTTGCAATGAGAAGATTTGCCAAGCTTCTCCGAAAACCATGCTGCTCCCTGGAGAAAAGATTATGCCCTTCAACATAGTTTATAACAGATATCCGAATGATTTTTTGCATCAGTTTTACAACTGCACCGGTTAGGCTAACGGGCCTATAGTTACTAACTAAATCCCTACTCCCGGCCTTATACAACGGACTTATTATAGCGTCTTTCCAGTCTCTAGGCACTCTGGACTGTCTCAGAGACATGTCAAACAGTATCGTTAATGGTTCAGCAATTTCTTCTGATATGGCTTTCATAATCCTAAGATGAAATCATCAGGACCGCTGGACTTGTCAGGTTAGGGATGCTGAAGCAGCCTTAAAACAGTACCTTTCTCAGTGAATACAGGATCCATCAGCGAGCGGTCACGGTTACAATGAATCGTTGGTCGTTCTTCATAACCGGTAGAAAACACTTTAGTGAAATATTCCGATAAAGCCTCAGCTTTTTCGATATCATTTCTTGCCAAGTTTAACGGATTTTCTTGTATCAAAAGTGATGGAATTCCATCGCTTCTCTGAGTTCGCCTTTTTATATACGA